CCAAAATTTTGGAATCGAGTTTGACGTTGATCCCAACAGTTTTTTGTGTGCTGATAACGAAAATCACTTCCATTTATACCCCAGACCTACATTTCACTCAATATGAGCCCACAAGCTGCACATTTCTTAAGCAAAGTCCGAAGTGCACAAATTCGCATCGCTCAGCCACACTACGCGCCCACTAAACGGCGCGTACCCCTAGTTTACCAAATCGAATTTAAAAGACTTTCCGCGGAGCGCTGCCTGGGCCTGCCCTGCCTGCCCTGCCAGCCCTGCCGGGCCGCATTATTTTTAAGCGCCCCGCGTCGCGGACCGCTTTACCGGCCTGTCCCTTTGGCCCTCTCGGCGTGGCGTGGCGTGGCGTGGCGTGGCGTGGCGTGGCGTGGCGAGGCGCGGCCAACACGAGGAGCACGAGGAGCAGGCGGAGCACGGCCCCATCATGCCTCGCCGTCGTAACTCTAGCGTTTGCCCCCCCCCCCCCCCCCCCAAGGCCCTCATCCTCATGGCCCTGGCCTCTCTCTCTCTCTCTCTCTCTCTCTCTCTCTCTCTCTCTCTCTCTCTCTCTCTCTCGCCTCTCGCCGGGGCCGGTCGCTTCACCTCGGAAATGTAATGTGTGTATCCATAAAAACATGGAGGGTGGCCTCGCGCATGGGGGTGGGAGAGAGAGAGAGAGAGAGGGAGAGAGAGGAGGAGAGGGACAGAGGGACGCCAGGGTGCCTCTGCGTGCCGCCGCGTGCTACTCGCGTGCTACCCGCGCGTGACCCGCACGGCGTGCAGCGCGTACTGCGGCGGGCGCGAGTCAGACCGCCAGGCCGCCGCGCGGAGGGGTGGCGTCGTCGACGACGTCAGAGATGAGGGGCTGCCTGGAGTTTGGCGAGACGCATGAAGTACGCGCCGCTTTGTCGCTCTCAAACTAAGCGGCCAGGTTCTGTCTGTTCCGCCAACGAAGGTGAGGCTGGGAGGATGATCGTTATTGTTACCACACACATTGCACCGCGAACAATGATTCTTTAGAAGGTCTTTGTTCCAGCCAGGGATGCGTGTTGCGGCTGGTGCTGCAGGCCGGCCCGCTCTGAGATGCCGCGTCCGTCCGCGCTCCCCCTCGCTTCCCCAGGATTGTTCTGTCATAACTTACTGCCCTTCGAGCCGTGGGAGGTGTCCCCCCCCCCTCCCCCCCGGACCCGCATCTCTGCGGGTCGCACTCCCCGCCCCGCCTCGCACCCTTTTTCGCGTGTGATTCCCACACGCCCGGCCCACTACCAAATTGTTACAAAATCTGGCCGGTGATTATCACACTGTGTGTGTGTGTGCGTGTGGCTGGGTATAACGAAGACATGGATAGGTGACAGATGCCCAAGTTCCCGGATAGCCGGTCGCTGTTGACCAAACTGCGACTGGAGTGGGGAGGGGTGGGGTGGGGTGGGGCGAGGCGGCGGGGGGCGTTGACCCGCCCGACTATGCCGTGCCCGTCTGCCCCGGCCTGCCCCCCGCCGCGACGCCGTCCTTCGCCAGCGGCCCCAGAAAGTCGAGAAGAAAAGTACACATTTCGCCAAGACAGCCAAAGAAGGCTAAGAGAGATAGCCGCCCCATCGATTCTGCCCTCCGTGTCAGAAACCGCGCGCCAACTCCGAAATGGCGTCTAGTTTGCGGAGTTTCGTTCGCTCTGTCTCTCTCGCTCCCCTGCGGAAGGGCCGGTGGGTGCGAGAGAGACAGAAGCTTCCGCTCCGCGTTCGTTATTAGCAGCAGTGGCTGCACGGCGATACGGCAGGGGTCACGCTGTCTGTATCAGTACCGCATCCTGGTTTACATCGCACCCACACACACACGCACACTCACACGCGCGTGCACGCGCACACGCACATGCAGGCCCTCCTTCACACCGGGCTGCTCGGTGCCCATTGGTCCGTGTCGCGGGGTGCCTGCACTGCCGGCGCGGTGGGGCGGCGCGGGGCGGGGAGCGCGCGCCCGCGACCACACGACGGTCTGTCCTCTTTTTACTGTTATTATTAAGATATTAAAATATGTACGCGGGGGCATGAAAAAATTAGCAGAGTCATATCGGTGTAAAGTGCGTAGTGCGGCGTCATCGCCTCGCACAAGCGCACGCAGCATCCCGGGAAAGGAGCGCACGAAAAAAATTTGCATTCGACGCCAGACGCAGAGAGAGACAGACGGCGCTCGCAGCGGGGTGGACGGAGACAGACAGAGCCGACAATGAGCGGAAGCGAGGCGGGCCGGATTGCAGCCGCGCCACTTCCTGCGTCTGCGGAGAAAGGCCTTCATTACCGCGGCACCGCGGCAGTGCGACAAAGAGAGACCAAAAGCAAAAGCAACCCCCGCGCGTGCTGCGTGCGTCACCTGACGCTCCGTCTCTCTCGTGGGGCGTCCCACCCTCGCACAGTGGGCCAGAAGACCGGTGGAGGCGGCCAAAATTCTAGACGCGTTTTGAGCTCCAGACTCGGTAAATGGGACTCTAACTGGACGTGTGACCCCACCAATGGATTGCTCTCCAAACGAGGAATCCATTGGTGGGGTCACAAGGTCGGTTCGAGTCCCATTTACCGAGTCTGGAGCTCAAAACGCGTCTAGAATTTTGGCCGCCTCCACCGGTCTTCTGGCCCACTGTGCCTCGGTCCCACCCCTATGGGTGCGAGAGAGGACGGCAGAGTGGCGCAGTGAGTGGAGCACGCACGTGAACATGAAAGGCCGGAGGGAAGTCCCGGAGCGTGGACCAAGGCCACCAAGGCCGTCCCATTGACGGGCTTCGCGTTCCTGCTTTGTCGTCGTGCAGGCATGCCTGGCGGCCCGGCCCGGCCCGGCCGTGCAAAAACCACTTCACTCTCGCTGGTTATCTTGTCCTGTCCACCTGGAGCACACACTGGCACGGCGTCGGCGCGGCGTCGGCGCACGCACACCCCTGGCCGGCACCTTGCCCGAGGGGAGGACTTGTTGATCCCGGCGCGCGCCCACGCGCTAGAGAGAGAGAGAGAGAGAGAGAGAGAGAGAGAGAGAGAGAGAGAGAGAGAGAGAGAGAGAGAGAGAGAGAGAGGGAGAGAGAGGGAGACAGCCAGGGGGTGCGCGCCGCTGGCAGTGCGAAAGAGACGGCACTGTAGGTAATTATCTCGCCCCCATGTGCTCCAGCCGCCCCAGCCGCTCCAGCGCTATCACCCTCCAGCACGCTCCGAGGCATTGTCTGCCTCTGTCTGTAGGCAGAATTCACGAGGGTAACCCTGAACGCCAAACCCCGAACCCCGGTGCGGTGAATAGCTGGAGCTGCCTGACAGCTCTTGTCTTGGCAGGGACGGCAAACTTAATGCAGGAGTGCGTTAACTTTATTTTACTTGTTCTCAATATTTCTTCCTTCTTCCGTGGCAGTTTCGGTCCATTTTTCGAACGGCAATGAACACTGGGACTGGTGTCGGTGTGATGTGGGTGTGCGCCATCAAACCGGCACGGTAAATTCAGTGGCGAAAAGTATTGGAACAGTGTCCCGAGGCAGAGGGCATACCATGACCCCTCCCCTCCCCCTCCCCCTACCCTCCCCCATCCCGCGCGCTTTCCTGTCCCATCTTTCATGACGAATGGTCATCCCCTCTCCAGTGGCGAAGAGGGGGGGGGACCCCCGCGAGTCATCCAAGCTGCATGTCACCCAGCAGTCCGATTCCGAACCGTGGCGGAGTCACTCTGTCTCTCTCGCACTCATGGGGCGTCCCGCCGGGGTGCGAGAGAGACAGCGAGGCACTGTTTGGGACGACGGACGGCGAAGATCCCCGCCGCGGCGGCCTGGCCCAAGGCCTGGCCGTGGCTCCCGGTGGCACGGCACGGCGTGCGTCAAGTCATCACCGGCTCCGCGGGAGGCGCTGTGCTGCGCTGTGCTGCGCGGTGACGCCGCCGACGACGCGCGCTTCTCGTCAACAAGTGACTCGCGGCCTACGACCCTACGACGTCCTGGAAGCAGAAGGCCCGGCCGCGGATCCGACGTCGACGGCTATTCGGACGCGGCAGGAATTCCTGGGAGTTCCCCGTTGTGCCCGGCCCTGGCGGCCCTGGCGGCCCCGGCCAAGGGTGCGAAAGGGCCGGGCCTTTGATGTGAACAATAAAAGCCCGGAACAGGCAACAGGCGGCAGGGCGCGGCAGGGCGAGGCGTGGACCAGCATACAGCATCCGCGCCACCGTGGCGCGGTAGGGGCTGCCGAGTCCTTGCCGACAACTTGACGACGCCCGCCCGCTGCCTGCTCGCCAAGACGAAGTGCACCGCGATGCAGTACAGTGGCGTGGCCAGGCGCGCGTCGAGGTCAAGAGGAGCGTGTCCCCGCCCCGCGCGAGGCCCGCAGGCCCGCGGATGCGCGGAAGGAGCCCCCGCGACATGGCAGCACCACGCCGTCCTCGCCGGCGAGTCGGGCGGCAGGCGAGTCGCAGCCCAGCCGAGGAGCTGACGGCGAGCTGACGGCGTGCTGACGGCGAGCAGACGGCCAGCTCACGGGCAGCGCGGCGCGCGGACGCCCCCCTCCAGCCATCATCCCATCGCTTCCAATTGAGGCGGCCATCACGACCACTTGTGCCAATCAAGACTCGTTAACCTCCCCGGCCGTGCCCACCCCGCCCCGCCCCGCCCAACCGCGCCCCGCGAGCCAGGGCCCCGCGCCCCACCCGCCCCGCCCCGCCCCGGTTATCCCGTCAATTGAGAGGCTGAGGGGCGCGGGGGCCAGGGGGCGGCGGCGTCCAAAGGCATGCGGTAGGCTGTGGGTCGCAGCGACGCCTCGCCGCTTGCCTCGCCGGCCCGGGTCGCGTAGAGGATGGAGGCCATCATGGCGTGCCAGAGGCCCGGCCGGCCTGGCCGTCGGACGGGCTGTGCCCTGGCGGCCCTGGCGGCCCTGGCTGCCCTGGCTTGCCAAGCCGCCGCCACTGGCCTCCACTGGCAGCCACGTCGGCAAGGGGTAGGGAAGGGAGGGCGGCCCGGACGGACCAGACGGCGGCACGGCACAGCAGACCGCCGTGGAGGACAGGGGCAGGCAGGACCAGCAGGACCAGCAGGACCAGGATGGCGGCTGCATCGCCCGCCCTCCCCTCGCCGAGCAGCCTTTACGTCACCTAAGGGCTTTCTTTCTCGCGCTCCCCCGCGACCGGCCGCGACGCCTCCAGAGTGTGACAGAGACATAGGGGGACGAAACATGCTCCACCTGACACGCGGACTACCTGTACTTTTCCGGACGAGACGTAAACGCCTCTGTCAATATTGTTTAAACAAGGCAGTAGAACACTGTATTATGTCACTGCAGAACTGGAAACTATGTTCGAATAATCTGACGCGGAAGGGAAGAGACAAAATAAATTGTTTAGGTTGTAATGGAAGAGTCTCCATGCCAAAAATATATTCTCGTCTTTCGCCAGGATGGTTGGAAAAGGCATTTTACAAGAATACGCTGGTAACTTTCCTGTGGCACATGTTTAAGTGAACCGCGCATTCGGTGGCACCCTCGTCATTCTAGCCAACCCTTGCAAAATTGATGATCACATTGCTGAAACATCACGGTGCTGGATCAGCAAATTCCCATGAAATAAAACAAAAATTATCAATTGACCATCTTTATGATATGTTTGGATAAGCAAGAAAAGACTATGCATTCATTGTTTTTACTGTTTTATGTTATAGTGCTGTCAGCCTGCTTGTCATTCTGCCGTCTGGTAACCATGGCAACATCATACAAACATAAACTAAAACTAGGTTATGTTCATCTGTTTATTGATCCAGTTAAAAGACACTTGACGTTAAATATGCCTATTCATGGACTTCTTTTTACTGAAAAGGACTCCTTTTTAAAAATATATTGTCGAGCAACACAATGAGGCTATTGTCATCGTGTTTGCGTTCGTGGATATCTTAATGTCTTAGCTGTGCAACTAGTGATCTGTGCTGGAGTGCCTTACAGTATACTTATTGGAATTATGGAGAACTACACTGTGACAGGACACATAGGTGAAGGAGCTCACGGGTTAGTTTTGAGAGGGAAGCACCTACCCACTGGACGAGAAGTAGCTTTGAAGAAAGTAAAGGTTAGACGTTTAGAGGATGGCATTCCAATCAGCATCCTACGAGAAAGCAAAATCCTCCAAACTGTGGATTGTCGCTATGTAAGAAAACTGATCCCTTGTGAAAAAGGTTTTAGCTAATGCAAATTTTTAATCATTTTTTTTTTGCTTGTTTTGTAGGTAGTGAAACTTCTGGACTTTTTTCCTCAAGGCTTGGGCTTTGTATTGGTGTTTGAGATGATGCCATCAGGCCTGTGGGAAATGCTTCATGACATAGACAATCCGATTACACCTGCACAAGGGAAAAGCTACATGAGAATGCTATTAATGGGACTCAACTATCTGCACAACCACCACATTATGCACAGGGTAAATATTTCTGTTCTACTTTTTGTTGCAAGGAATCAAATCTTATTTAATAAAAATCGGCCCAACAGGACTTGAAGCCAGCAAATTTATTAATTAGCTTCGAAGGAGAGCTAAAGATTGCGGATTTGGGACAAGCAAGATTAGTTTGGACAGACACAAAGGGAGAGTCCAGACCCTACACCCATCAGGTTGCAACCCGCTGGTACAGGGCTCCTGAACTACTGTACGGTGCAAGATTCTATTCTAAAGCTGTTGATCTTTGGGCTGTTGGCTGCATTTTAGCAGAGGTCATCATGAAAAGCCCCATTTTCCCAGTAAGCTGACATTTTAATATAAAACCTCAGTTTTCTTATGTCTTTGGGTAGTTACAGTAAAAAGTGAAGGTTGTTTTATTTTTCAGTAACATAATTTATTTTCCGTTTTCAGGGTGAGACAGATATTGAACAATTGGCTATGGTCATAAGTAGCCTCGGAACACCAACAGAAGATAATTGGCCTGGCTTAACATCACTGCCCGATTATAACAAAATAACATTCCCTGAGTCACGTAGAGTGCCTTGGGAAACACTAGTACCTGACAGCCCCCCTGAAGCTTTAAGTCTTATTCAATGCTTCTTATTATATGATTCTGATAAAAGAATATCAGCTCAGGAGGTATGGATAAACTGCTGAATAAATTAGTAAGTGACAAAATTATCCCCAAAAATAATTTTTTTTAATGTCTTTCAGGCTTTGGGACACTCATATTTTTTTACACCACCACTTGCATGTCCTCTAGCTGAAATGCCTAAACCAAAAGACGGTCACCGCAACAAGTTCATAGGTAAACCTTAACAATTAAAAATCAGGACATCTTGTTTCTACTGACTTTCTTCTATAACAATGCATTTTATTACAGACAAAGAAGTGAGAGCGGATGTACCGATAGATGAATTATTTAAAGATCTTGCAGATTTTGTACCATGACAAAACAGAGTCTTAACTGAATAAGACCTTCATTTAACACAACAATTAATTAGGATAACAATCCCCTCAGCATTCCCCTAGATGTGGTATAAGCACTTGTTTGCTAAAAGAGTATCACAATGCATTCAAACAATAGTGTAACCATTTCTTGTATGCTATGCTATCTTTGTAAAAATACTATGATCACATTTATACATTTCAAAATGTACCTAAAACCTATTTCATTTTTATATTGAAAATTCATTACATTTTAAAAGAAATTAAAACCAAACAAGATTTTTGGTCAATAGAATTTTTTTTTTCATTTTTACAAACAACATAAGACCAATCAAAATAGATAAAATTCACATACAATGTACAAGTCTACTGATTAAACAGCTGGGCATATAATACTCCTAGGCTTTCAATGTTGGCTAACATAATTAATCGCAAGGTTTCTGTGTATTGGGGTCCTGGAAAATCTTGAGTTGAGTCTCTCCACACATTGCCATGTGCATCTGATGCAAAGAGATCAGGAGCAGGGACGTGGTCGCGCATGTAGTTCCAAACACAGTCACGCAAAATCTGTACAACCTGAAAAATATTGTAAGGGATGTGCTTTTAACCAATAGTTAGAGAGACACAAGAAAGAAGTTGTGCGGAGTGTGTCTTACCTCTGGTGGTTTTAAATGGGGGATGACATCTCTCAAGCTGGACAAGGGACTCGGAAGTAACTGGCCTAACGCAAGTAAACTGAGCAGTCTAACTGTTGTTGGTAACAATGATGAGTCTCTGTGTTGACTGCAAGAACCCCACTGAGCAATCAATGTTGCAGTAACTGCTCGCAGAAGAACTGAGCAATAACATAAAGCGGGCCTGTGCAAAGCGATGAACCAGAGGATCTCCCACATTATTGGTGTTTCTTCCAGTTTCCGTCTGATGAAACAGTCTCTCTCCACGGTAGCCTGGAAAAATTAAGTTGAAAAGTTAAAAATAAAAATAAACTCTGATCTTAAAAAATTATTGCTTCTTAGAGTACATACTTTACACCCATCTTCATCGGGCCATGGTAAACCATTGTACATGACATCAGGTGATATTAGTTCCACTAGGAGTAAAGAGACAGAAATCACAGTGCTTAAGGAAAGAGTAGCCGCGCCCGGCTCCATAGCACTAGGGTCCAGAATTGCATTAGAAACACAACAAGATCTGATGGCATTCAATAATAACTGAGTATTTCTATGAATTAATGATGGTGGGGTGGTATTTTTCTTCTTTAATGCTCGAAGGCCAGATCCTATAACACCAGCATGAAAAACTGATGAATGCCTTTGAGCTAAAACCCAACTAAGACCCTGCCAGAAAAAAAGAGAAAGAACGGGGAAAATTAAAAACATTGTTGGCCTTAAAGTTCCTTTCAGTGGGAGATTCATTGCCATCTCCACAGAAATTAAGGATTCCAATCATAATACAAACAAACCTGCTTCAGATTTTCTTCCATTATTCTTAAATCCGTTTCCTCAGCTGTCAATGTTTCCTCATTTACAAGATCATTTGCACCAAAGAGATGAGTTGGGCCATGAAATAGAGACAATTCCAAAAGTGTCCTCAAGGCAAGAGCTCTAGCACCGGAAGATCTCAGGGAAAGCCTTGAAAGAAGCTTGCATGCTAACACACAACCTTCAAATCCTTTGCTATCATCCTCTGAAAAAAAGACAAAATAATAAAAATAAGACAAGTTAAAGTTAAAACTAAACATATAAAAAATGCAAAATTAACAAGGGGGGGAAATGAAGTAAAACAAACCGTTTTCTATACACATGAAGAAGTATGCAACAGTTGAATGAGCCAGTCTCAAGGCATCTTGCATACTGGGAGGTGTAACAGAAGTTGGATTTTCACCAGGCTCTTGGACAAGAGCCAGAACTAATGTTTCTGAGACAGCATGGGCCAGATCAGGATCAACACTAGAGCCCAAGGCAGAACAAGCCGTTCCTATTGTTCCATACACTGCTTTAAGAACTGGTTGGCTGTGGTTACGTAGCTTTCCAGATCTCTCCCACCTAAAATTTAAAAATTAAGTTAGAGAAGAAGAAAATCAAACAGATTCCCATACATTGCAAACCAAAACAAACTAACCTTAACAATGTAGACAAATTTTTCCAAACATCTCTGGCAGATGGTTTATCATCTTTATTGTGAAGAGCTTGTTCAAGACCCAGCTGCAAAACATTGGAGTGCTCCATGGGAAGACTAGTTCTGTTGGGTTTCTTGGCACTGCCATTGGTACTGGCCTGGTTTTCTAAGAGCTTAGCTATTACACTCAAGTGATTTTCAGTTTTGGCATTAACTAAAACATATGCAATGGCATAAGGAAAAACACTTGGACTATGAAGGCCTGCAAATTAAGAGAGCAATGAAAAGCAATTAAAATAAGAACAGATGCAACATTTCAAAATAAATGCGACAAATAGATGCAAATTTTACCCAGAAATCCTATAAGTCGGAGTGCAGTTTGCACTCTTACTCTCAATGGGCTAAGTAATAAAGGGAGAACAATTTTTAGTTCTTCACGGAATGAGCCCAGGCAAGGAATCAATCCCTCAGTACGGTGCAGCAAAAGAGAAAGCTCTTGAAGAAACAATTCTGAAAACAAAAAAATAATTAAATGAATATTAAAGGACTGTTTTGAACGAGCTAGACATTGTTATTTTAGTGTGCAATTTAAATACACACCTAGAAACTCTTGTCCATTTTTTTGCACCACAATCTCTTCTGGGGTTGTTGGAAGCAGGTTTGGAGATGGCGGAGCAGCACAGTCCAGAACCAATGATAAAATAGTAGGTGCACCAGTTGGGCAGCGAAGAACTAGGTGAACTAAAAGATCCTGAAAAGCTTCTCGTCCTCCGTAGTATGATAGCCAATCAGCAGACTGTTCAGCCAGCTGACTCAGAACTTTTGGAGTCACTGTAATAAAAAAAATTGGTTTATAAAAAGAACACAATAATTTATTAACAAAGAAGAAGTAAGGAATCTTACATGTGTGTAGTACGTCCATACTGAGTGAGCGCAGTAGTGTTGTTGACATGGATGCTAGTTGAAGAAGGAACGGGACAGTAGAGTTCTGCTGGTGAGTGGTAACTGGGTCTGTCACTTTTGGTCTCTCAAGACTCCACTGATGAAAAATGAGACAAACAGGTGAGATAAAAGAAAAATTCATTGCCATACAATTATCAAAAATGCTTGCTTGAAAATTGTTATACCTGAAATTGTTGGAGGAGAGCCCGTCTCATGTCACATGAGTGGCTTCCAGCCAAATAACCCAATATCTGGACAACTGAATTAAGTTTTGGAGCTTTGGGTCCTTGTTGATTGCTGCAGAAATCTTTCAAACCAGCTGCCAACACCCTTGTCATCACAGTGCGTGGGAAACAACTGCCCACATGCGCAACAACCCAATCAAAGTGAGGGCTATGGGTAACACATGTGTCTGCACAACAAAGAGAATAAATATTAATTTTGTAAAGTACAAAAGAATAGAAATTGCAACAGGATAAGAAATACTACCTAAAAGAGCATTTATGCATGATTCAGTATCAAAGTCCATGAGACATGAAAGACACTGGGTGGTGATATCAATAAGGCTTCTAGTTGCTCTGCATGACATCCAAAGCTGAAGAGACTGACTCAAAACACCAGAATGTGTAGCTCTTCCTGCGAACCGGCTTGAAATTTCTCCTGATGGATTCAATGAAATACAGAAATGGATATACTTAGAAAAATGTAATAAAAATAAAAATGTTTTTGAGAAGATATGTTCTGACCTAGAAGCTGAAGAGACCATTTGCTGATGATGGGAGCCCATGCTTCAGGAGAGCTGCTGACAAAATCACACAGAACATTGTGCACCTCTGCGACAATGGATTCTTCTTGTGCAGACAACTCAATGTCAGTATCCTTAGAGCCCCTCTTAATAGCAATCTGCAAAAGTATTTTTTATTGGTACAAGTTTAATGGCTAAAAGTAGTAGGAAGGCACAAATTCCTGAAAATACCTCAACATTTTCAATGTATCGGCCAACAACTTCATCAAAGAGGGAACAAAAGTACTCTAGCACAGCCTCTCGAGATGCAGGCAGAGTTTTAAGTAGAGACAATGCTACACGAGCAAGCCCAATATCCAAATGACTTCTTCGAGTGTTTCTAGTAGCTCCAGTGATGAAAGCACGTAAGTCAGCCATAAGGTCTGAACCCACTATTCTGGCACCGGAGGGATTCATTTTGAAGATGGGCTGAAAAAAGGAGAAAGTATCATAAGTATTTGTTGAATGTAATGCCTGAGTAATCCTGTGCAGAAAAACAAATGTCAAACTATGTAAAACATAACCTACATAAAGTGACTTATTCATTCAAAATTCTCACTTAAAAAATTGTATGAAAACAATCGAAATTAAAAAATGCTGCCTGATTCAAAATAGATCCAAAAGAAACGATATAAATCCAGAGAAAGCTTCCTTCGTTAAAATTATTATAAGTCTCCATGATCCAAACATAAACACAACGTACCTTTAACCTCCAAGGTAAGCAGTGGCAGCTGTCAGCAGCTGATAATTACGACAATGCGGTGAAGTTAGAGCTACTGACAAACCGGTAGGAATGATTGAGACTACATCGCTCCATTCAGATACTTAAATCAGTGATAGCTTAAGAGAAAATGTGTATATGACGAAATAAAAGCAGCCGCTGTTTGCCCCAGGGAGGTGTCGCGGCTCGCCGCTCCTTCTCTTTCTGCCGTCTGCTAGTGTAGGTGCCGGCGCGGGAGTGGGCTCGGGGGAGATACTGGATCGGGGAACGACCGTCGAGGCTGGGCCAGCGCGGGTGCATCGCCACTCATCTACTGCGACCAAATAAACACTGAGAGCTGTTTTCAACGAACTGCTTTATTGATTGCGACACGATGACATAGTTTTATTCGACCAGGTCCTCGCCGTAGTGATGCGAGAGCACGTTGACGATGCGTCGCACAGGATCGATGCAGAGGAAAGCCACGTCCTGAGGGTGCTCGGGGTTCAGCGGCAGGATGGGCTCGCCGTCCTCGTCCTTGGCCACGACCTTGAGCACCACGGAGCGCACCACCACGATGCCGTCGGGGTCCTTCTCCACGCTGTCGACAAGAAAGCAGGTCATGACGGGCAGCGGGCGCGGCGCTGGTAGGGAAGGGGGCGACTGGCGTGCCTGACGAGGTGCTTGTAGATGGCGCGCGCCGTGTCGATGTACGGCGTCAGCGTGTCCTCGTACTGGCACCACTTGCCGCCCACTACCAGCAGCCGCAGCAGCTGCACCAGGAACTCGGCGCGCTCCCCCGCGGTGAACACGTCCCAGTCCTCGTCCTCCTCGTCCACCAGGATCTGCGGGCAGGGAAGGGTGAGGACTCTAGGGTGAGGCCGCGCCGCGAGGCCGGGCGATACCCCGCGCCGCAGAGGCTGCCGGCCCGGCGATACCCCACGCTGGCAGCGCCTGCAGCGCCGGCCTGGCCGTCTGGCCGACGTAGAGCCTCGACGCGACGCACCCCAGCGGTCAGACGGGAACCACGGGAACCGGGATCGTGCGGGCAACAAGTTAGACGGAAACTTATCGGAAGTCGATTCGATAATCGGGTGCTGGCCAGAGACGCCGCACTGCGGCCTGGGCACTGGGCGGGCTCCCCAAACTATCTCCGCTCGCAGAAACGACCCAGTGGACATTCTGATCCCGAATTCTGTTTCAGAAGTCGAACACCGAGGCCGAGCAAATCAACCATCAGTTACATGCGAAGCGAAACTCCGCCCCGTGCGCGTTCTAGGCCGGAGAGTTGAGGGTCTGCGCATGGAGCGACAGGGCATACTTAAGCCACCGGTGGCGTGGCTGTGGCTACTGCGGTTCCTCGCTGCTCACCCTGCGGAGGCGGTCGTTGATGACGATGTCGCCGACCTGCGTCTCGGCGCACGGCGTGATGAGGTCCTCCCCCCGCACCACGCCCACCTTGGCCAGGCGGCGGAACAGCGCCGTGGACGTGAGCGAGCAGGGCACTCGCTGGACGGCCACCTCGTGCGCCGCGCCTATGGGGCGGCAAGGACGTCAAGGACAGCGACAGACGCGTCGAGATTCAATTAGTTGTCGGTTTTGTTCCGAGACTCACGCGCTTTTCCGGCCGGGAAGGAGCGGAGCGTGGAGACGACGTGGGGGTCCCCGAAGAAAGCCTGGAGGGATATAAAGCTTTCATGAACAGTCTGAACAGTGCGGCAGCGCGGCCCCATGGCGGCGAATGGCGCCGCGCGGAGGCAAAGTCAAGCGCAGTCAAGCGCCGCTGCGTACCCGGGCGAGGTCCTCCTTTTGGTAGACTTGAAAGGCCTCGTTGAAGGAGTAGCGCTGCGCCCGGAGGTAGCCTTTCATGGACCTGGGCATTCAAGTGGCGCGCTGAAAGCGGCTGAAAGCAGAGCCCGCCCGCTTACCCTACCCCAGGCTCACCCCGTTCTCACCCCCACTTACCACTTTTTCAAGAGGCCATCAATCGAGGGCTCGCTCAGCACGCAGTCCGTCTTGGTGTCCAGACAGACGAAGTGGAAGGGCGCGGCCGTGGCCGGCGTGGCCGCCGTAGCCGTCATACTTGCTGTATATTTGCGCTTACGGCAAGTTACGCTGCGTCGCGCTGCTTTGACACCGTCACCAAGGCGACGCGAAGGACGCCGCCGTCGCCATGGCGACCAGGCCGCTCCGCGGCTCGGATGGCTCGCTTGGTGGCGGGAAAGCCTGGCGATAGGGGCTAACTTCGCTTCACGCGCCGCAGTGCGTGTAGCAGATGGGCGGCCAATCACGAGCAGCGTCGCTCTGTCTCTCTCGCACCCCTGTGGACACACCCCATGCGAGACAGAGCGCGGCGACCACCACGCGGACGCTGCAGGCTGCCGTCCCCACAATGCACGGCGATACGATACACCGGCATCACGGCCTCGAATTTTGCACACCGCCGGGCCCATACAGCGCGGAGTCCAGTGTGGTGGCGTGGGCGGCGGGGCGGGGAGGCATGGCCGGCCGGGGTGCGAGACGCCGAGCCGGGCTGCGGCGCTGGCCCCGCTGGCCGCGCGGTGGTGGAGGCAGCCCTCTCCAGCGGCGCGGAGCCGGAGCCGCTCAGTCTTGTACGCGCCCTTCCCCTGCGAGCTAGGCACCCCGCCGGCTGCCGACGCACACCGCCGACGCACGCGGCGGACGCACGCGTGTTGAACGCACCCATGGTGAACGCACCCATGGTGAACGCACCCATGGTGAACGCACGCGACGATGAACGCGTGGTTCACGCTAGTGGTGAACGCACGCAGTAAACGCACGCAGTAAACGCACACGGTGAACGTACAGCCTGCTATCGCACGCGTGGTGAACGCGTGGTGAATGTACCCATGGTGAACGCACGCGACGACGAACGCGTGGTTAACGCTAGTGGTGAACGCACGCAGTAAACGCATGTGGTGAACGTACAGGCGGTGAAGGAACGCGAGGTGAACGCACGTGGATACACGGCGCGATGCAGCACAAAGTGCCCTAGCACCGCGGGGACCAAGGTTCCTCCGGGAAAAATGAGGTGAGTCCTTCGCTGTAGTAAGGAATACCAAATGTAAACAAAAGCCCCGTGTTCAATGTGTAACGACGAGACTGTAGGTTCGAACTGTTCACACTGTTTCCAAAAAGAGTACGCTTCTGTTAGTCTGCGAACAAAAACCACCACAAATCAAAACAAAACACTTCAGGGAAGGAATGAATGAGGAGCGTACCTGAACTCGGCCCATTCATTCTCAACAAGACGCATCGTGAACCTCCACCTCCATTTCTCTCTTTCTCTCGGTAATTGTTCCCTAACGACGTGCGTGGCCGCGGCGCTGACCAGACCGCGCCTCGCCACACCTGGTTCTGGTGCTGGTCCACTACAAGTAGGCCTCAACTGTCGTTAGCCGGCCGGCATACCCCAGCATCCGGCTGTACATTGTTTTGCTGATGGAGTGCCTCCAGTCGCGCTTGGTTGTGTCACATAGCATCGCAGATCCTCGAGTGGGTTTAGAACGGGAGCCTTTTTTCCTCCACCTCGACTCAATAACGAGAGATTAAAGAAGACAATAGAGGCAAATTTGACGAAGCAAGCACTGAAACGAACCTATTTTCCGCTGTAACCTTATGATAAGAATGAATACGGTAATTCTTTGTCTATGCCCCCACCATCTGCCATGTTTTCACAAGTTTCGTTTTTCATAAGTTTTGCTGATGAGGGAGATGCTTATAGTATTTCGATGCCTTTCCCTCCCGTCGTTCGGTTCGATTCAAACCCCTGGCGCCAAACAGCCCGCTCCACTGGAGAAGAGGAGGGGGCTGCTGTCATGAGATAAAGGTGGTGATGCCATCCAGGGCCACCCAGCGCCGCCGAGGGCCGCCGAGGGCCCTTGCAGTAATTAACCAAGTCGATGGTCCGTGAGGGTGCGGCGCGGCCCCGGCCGCGAGTACAGCCTGCGAGTCCAAAGAGTGGCGAGACGCGGTGCCCCGCGGCCGCTCCGAGAGTGCCAAGTGTAAGCCGTGCTGCGGCGCCACTGCGGCCCCACGGGCCGGGGGCCGGGGGCTCGCCTGGCCCTAGCTTAGGGTGCCCCGGGGGGTCGGTGGGCAATCCCAATCCCATCCGGGGAAATTGCATGCCAAGTATTGGAAGTACAAAGGCAGCCGCAGGCAGCGCGAGTGCCGGTTGGGCCGCGGAAGGCCGGCCGAGACCACGGCGATGAGGTTTGAGCTTCAGGACGCCCGCCCACGTTATGGGCCCCGGAGAGTCCTGAATCCCGACTCAGCCACGGTGGTACCAACAGGTTCCCCGTCCGAAGGGTAATCCCTCGGCACCACCCGTGGGTGTTTGGATCGAACCCCATTTGACGGACGTCGAGATCAAACCGCGCTGGCGGGGCCTGCTCCGCGGCGAGAGGGTGTTGATAGTCGATTAGTCGATAGGCTGGCCAAATGGGGTTTCTTCTGAGGGGCCTTAATCAATGCCGTCGCCCGCGGTAAAGCAGCCAAGCGGCGGAGGCAGTACAGTCGCCCAAAGCGGTTCGTAATGAAAGAGGCGAGGCGGGTGGCTGCGGGGTGATACAGTCCGGGGCGAGAGCGAGAAAGAGGCGGTGGGTGGGGGGTGAGTTGGGGGGGGGGGGCTTACCGGGGAGTCCCGGCGCCCCGGCCCCAGAGTATCGGGTAACAGCGCAGCATAACAACGTTCGCATACCTACACATATTCAGGGGGTTGGTATTCCTTGAACCTCCCCTGAGACCCTCCCAGCCACCATTGACACAAGTCGATGCATCCAGGTCCGAGGAGCGAGCGCGGGCAGGCCCTGGGCAAGCCCTGAGGCAACCGTCCTACGTCAGTCCGTCAGACCGTCCCCGTCAGCCCTGGCCAGTCCGTCAGTCCGTCTCCGAGGAGCGGGCAGGGAGGGGGCGGCCCCGCTGTCGCCTTCTTCATCCCGTTATGCATGAAGCCCTGCTTGAGCCTTGCCCTGCCGCCCTGCAGCCCGAGAGTCGTTTCGGTCGCTCTGTCTCTCCACCTGTACCCCATGAGTGCGAGAGGGACAGAGCGAACCGCCACCGCACCCCCCGCTCCGCCACCTGTTTTGGGCGGCAGGAAAAAACGCCTGTTTTTGCGCCTCTTTTAATCGAATTGTTGATGGCTTTGCGTTTCTTCTCCCCCTTCTCTTTTCCCGCCGAGGACGCCGCGTGTGTGCGGGCCGCATTAACGCGCCAACAAAGTTCCTCCTGTTTACTTTCACTGCCGTCCCGCTCGCCAAGGGCAGGAATCGAGTAGTGTGGGCGCGAAGCGGCGCCACGCAAAGTCTTCCTTCTAGCCTCGCAGCATAAGGCGGCCGCGTGTGTTTCCTTGTCGGTAAATTTCTGATAAAGTCATAAGCACACAGTCCCTTGTTTGTAAAAAGATATTTAAAAAATCATCATGTTAAAAAAAGGGATCTGGTCGGTGTGAATGTAATGGGTAGGCTGGGTTGTTTCATCGTTCCCGCTCTTCGTGTACTTCTCGTCCAGCAACGCTCATCGGGTATGGAAATTTAAAAATGATGGCGGCGCCCGAGGTGGCGCCAGCAGAGCAGCAAGTGATTTCACGGTTCCCCGTCCCCGCCAGAAACTCCTCCTTTTAGTACACGCGCCGCTGCGATTTTTTCCCTTATTAAAAAAAGGGAGAAAACAAAAAGCGAAAACAACGCGACGCCATTTCATTATTATTTTTCACATTACTTGGCATTTCATTTGTGTCCTCTTTCCGCCGCCGCCGGCAAGTGCTAATAATGTGATGTTGATGTGGAAGATTAAAACGCAGCGCCGCGCCGGCCAACGAAACGGCCTTCGCCTCGTCGGATCCGCAGGCCGCAGCGCCCGAGGCGCGTTTCATACGGCGAATTATTTCCCGCCAAGCCGCGCCACCCGACGGCCAGCCGAAGGCCAGCCGACGGCCAGCCGAAGACCAGTCGAAGACCAGCCGAAGGACAGCCGAAGACCAGTCGAAGACCAGCCGAAGGCCAGCCGACGGCCAGCCGAAGGCCAGCCGAACTCTGCTGCGGGGCAGCGGAACCAAAACATGGCGTCGCTGGCGACGGGAGCCGACCAGCGGAACCAAAACATGGCGTCGCTGGCGACGGGAGCCGACCGCAATTTCCGAGGGTGAAAATAACATGCAAATACGAGCTGCGCGCTGAAAAGGGCTCCGCAAACTTTTTTTGTTCGTTCGAAATCGGTGCAAACACAGTAAATACAGCTTTGCCCCGCTTGCTTCCCCACCTAAGTAACAATAACTTGCGTGCATTTTGTGCCCTCCCCCCTCCCCTTGCTTCACGGCGCCTCACGTCGCTTCACGGCGCTTCACGTCGCTTTACGTCGCTTCACGGCGCCTCACGGCGCTTCACGGTGTCCGTTTCCAAACAAGCACGGCCGGCCCTGAGGCTCGCCCTGAGGTGGGGCACCAAAGTGGCTGCCTCGTGGGCGGCGCGGCGCGGCCTGGCCTAGTGCATGGCGACGCCTTGTTTGCACGTCCTACACAGTCGGCGAGGCACGTGGTCTGGCGTTGTCGCGGGGGGACGGGATGGTGGTTCGACGCCCGGCAGACGCCGCGCGCAAATTCCATTTTCCAAGTCGCTGTGACATTCTAATTGGAGTGGAGTGAAGCTGCGACCGCCGAGTCGAACACGCCGAGCATCGCGTCGGTCGTTCCGAGAAGGCAAACTTGGCCGCAGCAGGAAGTGGCGGTGCCGGCGGGGCTGGCGGGGCGCGACTGTGACTCGCCGGGGTTGAGAAGGGAGGGGGCGAATGCCTGTTGACCGTGCCTCTAATGATAGGCCAGCCGACTGGCGCCGGGGGCGGCGGGGGCGGTGGGGGTGGCGGGGGCGGCAGCAACATGAACTAATGTAAACGGCCGGCTCATTATTGGCTGGCGGTGGCGGTCGGGGACCGAGGGCCATCATCTCCTCTGCATCGGCCGGACCGGGCTTCACGTTGAATGGAGCGGCCCGTCGACCGCCAACCAAGCCGCCAACAGCCCCGGAGCACCAACCGCGCGCCGCACGCAGCAGGGGGCCGGACGGCCGAGGCCCGGCGTATTGGTGACCCAAAAGACGGCCTTTTTGGGGTCGGCGCGGCGAGGCGCCCTTCCGGCCCCCTCGACGGCCGCGTCCGGCCCGTCCCCGGCACGGCCCCGGCACGGCCCGGCACGCCGCGGGGGCCACAAGCTCTCACGCACGTCAAAGCTACGTCAAGTCGGTTGTAATTTGCGGCCGCCGGTGCTGTACAGCCGAGAACAGGTGCCCGTCGACCGCGGTCGACAGCCCCGGAAAGACCGCTCGTCTGCGACGTGCTGGCGCTGGCCTACACCCAAGAAAAGGGGTTGTTGAATCAAGGTGATTTACTTGAACAAGTAAATGAAGTGAAGGCACTTATAGTTGCAAGTGAATTGTCTTGATCGTTCAGGAAATGACCTGTGTACTTGCCTGAAATTTCCATACCATTCTCAATCTTTGATGATCGCGCGGAGCACTTTCGAAGGGGCGTGGTGGGGCGCGATGGCGACGCGGGGAGTCTTGTTGTCGCTGGCGTCGCTGGGTAATTTGAAAAAGAATGGAAAAAGGAAAACGCCTTCGTGTTGTTCGAGGCGTGTAGTCTGGAAGTGCGCGGGTGGGGGTGGGGCGCACAGTGGGCCAGAAGACCGCTTGAGCGGCCAAAATTCGAGACGCGTTTTGAGCTCCAGAGTCGCTAAATGAGACTCGAACCGACCGTGTGACCCCACCAATGGATAGCTCTCCGAACGAGGAATCCATTGGTGGGATCACACGTCCAGTTCGAGGCCCATTTAGCGACTCTGGAGCTCAAAACGCGTCTAGAGTTTTGGCCGCCTCCACTGGTCTTCTGGCCCACTGTGTGGGGGTGGGCGGGCCCTGATCGCCTGTTCGGCCCAGAGGCACATTCCGAACATCGCTCTGTCTCTCTCGCACTCATGGAGCGTCCCGCAGGCCTGCGAGAGAGACAGGGCGACTGCCTGTCATGGCCTCGAGAATAAATAACGACTCCCCCTTCCCCTCGTGACCACGCACCGGAGCAACAAGTCCGCACGCCGCGTCACGTCGAATGCGGCGGCGGCAGCGGGGAACACGATCAGACAAGTGGCGCCGAAATCGGCGGTCCTCGGAGCAGCGCGCCCGGCCGGCAGTGGAAAGCGGATTGTTCTGGGGGCTGCTGGGAGCCGTGCAACCCCCGCCGGTAAGCCATCGGCTTGTCCCAAAGTTCCGTCGATGCCCTGCAGCCCTTCGGATACTCGGAGCAGCGCGAGGTGGTCGAAGGCAGTCGAAGGCCCGGAGGGCTGGATTATGGTCCTTCTTGTTCCTGACTGCATTACCGTTTGGCCCTGCCTGGCCCTGCCTGGCACTGCTTCGGCGCTTCGGCGCTTCGGCCCCGGGCGGCTGGCTGTGGCTGCGGGAACACTGCTCGCTGTGGCCACGTTGCCACGTCACCATGCAAAGCGGATGAAATTAATTTGTATCTCAGATTGGTTCGGCGCCCCGCCCATGTCAACGCCGGGCTGTGCCGCTGTGTTGCCATGCGCGGCGTGGCCTTGGGCTTGGGGTGCTTCCAGTAGCTTCCAACGGCCTTCAGCAGAACGCTGGTCGGCTGCAGTGCGGCGGAGTCCTCGGCGGAGGCCGTGGCGGAGGCTGTACATGCCGCGGTGCAGGTGCCAAGACAGCGCTCCAACTATTTGGCTGCCCCCGGCCAAACCCAGCAGGGCTGGGGGGGGGGGGGCGTGTCGCGGGGAGGGGTACTTTGATGTGGTCCGAGCTGCACGCCCAGAGTGGCCACCAGCATGCAGTCCGGCCTCAGATGTAGGTCCATCCCGGTTGCGGATGGCTTTGCCCGCGGTTTACTCACACACACGTCCTCGAACACACGGGACTTGCTTCCAGGCGCCTGACCGCCGTGCCGGTGCCCTCCACGGCGTCCTGGGCGGTGCTGGCCGTCCTGCTGTCCGCCGCGCACCCCACGTGGCCGTCGCCGGACGCCGAGCCCCACATCGAGCCCATGTACGCCCTGGACCCGCGGCTGTGGGACGGCTGTGCCTGCGACGACGCGGAGCCCGCCTCACACCACGACCCCTACGCCGCGGCCCACGCCAGCGCCAGCCAGGGCTACAGCCAGGGCTACAGCCGGCGCCTCGGCAGCGGCCTCAGCTGCAGCTGCTCCGGGGCACAGCTGCTGTCCATCCCACAGCAGCTGACCCGCAGCCGCCTACCCGTCCGATCACTGTGAGTACAGTAGCAGATTAGCAAACAAAAACACGCCCTGTTGTCGAGAGTTGTTTTCTTCCTGTTTCATGTCGTCCTCATTTTTAGCCAGATTGTTTCTCTTTGGCGTCGACGACTAACAACAAATCATATTTGATATCGCCTGTCTTTCTCTCTCCCACGAACTTCCCACGTGCCGCTGCCATTCAGCGCAGCGCCAACGCTTTGCCGCTGAAAAGAACGCGCCACGGGGCCAAAATAAACAGCAGCTTCTTGGTGGGTGGCACACACACGCTCACTCTGAATCCGTCTCCTTTTCGGTCGCTTTGCAAGCGTGACATCGCCTGCCCCATTCATAAACGAGTTTCGTCGAGGGTAGGCAGCGAGGGCAGAGGGACAGTTATAATTCTAATTTGTCGGTGACCGTCGCGCCGCGCGTGCTCGCTAAATGGAACATGAAATTTTCATCCTCGCCAATTTGCAGGTCGGCGACGCGGCGACGCACGCGAAAGCAAGCAGGGCAGGAAGTGGGCATGATTTATGCACGGCTTTTCTCGTATTCCCTATCCAGAGCTTTGTTCCTTTGAGCGAGAAGGCGCGAGAGTACACATGCGTGTGTTTAATGGGTCCAATGGCAATTATTACGAATAACAAACTCAAGGCTAGTGAAGGACACTCGAGGGGTGAATCACTCAGCGTTCTGGTGTACACATGAGTACATGAGTACGGGTGAGTACACCTTGCTTTGCTCACAAATTTCATAATTTTAAACGTTTTCAGGCTTTATTTCACGTCTTCAACGGCACTCGACGTTAAATCGGTCAAAAACCTACAGAATTCCGCCTTTTTTTAACTTGTGAGTACACTGAGTACGGGCAAATTTGTACACATGAGTACACTAGTGATTCACCCCTCGAGGACACTGCTGAGCGGATTACAGCCTGACGGCCTGACCACAGCCTGACGAAGGTGACCGGGCCGTCGTCCGTGTCGCCCAGCCAGGCCCGCCAGGCAGCCCCGCCAGGCAGCCCCGCCAGGCAGCCCCGCCAGGCAGCCCCGCCAGGCAGCCCCGCCAGGCAGCCCCGCCAGGCAGCCCCGCCAGGCAGCCCCGCCAGGCAGCCCCGCCAGGCAGCCCCGCCAGGCAGCCCCGCCAGGCAGCCCCGCCAGGCAGCCCCGCCAGGCAGCCCCGCCAGGCAGCCTCCGAGCGCCTGTGATGGGCGGGGTAGGCCGACCCGCCGCGCAGGAGAGGCGAGCGGGCAGCGGGAGGCGCGACGGAGGGGGCTCCGCGGTGAAACGTGGGGCACAAGTGGTCCCGACAGAGGACTGGTCTGGGCGATTGCGAGTCGAATCAAGCAAAGGGCGGTTTAGATTCCTCGGTCCAAGGGCGAGACAGGGTACCGTCATGTGCCCCATTCACAACACGCTTATTTGGGGCGGCCACCCAGTCTCTTTGGTTGGCGTCGTGGCGTGGGGGCCCTCTTGGCCTTGCCTCGGCTGCTCCTCGGATAAAAATCTTCTCCGGCCCGCTGCTTGTGGGCGGCGATGGCCCGGCCGCCCGGCCCCGCGTTTGAGGTTTCGCTTTCGATCCGTCAAAGAGCGTCCTCTTTGTTGTTACCCGAAGCCGGGGACCATTGGAGCAAATGAAGAGTGGGCTGGATTCGGGCGAGGTATGTGAGTCGATGCGGACGCGGTGGGGGTAGCCGGGGGGGGGGGGCACAGCCTGGAGGGCCTTCTCGGCCTTTGTGCCGGCCCTATGCTTGTCGCACCTCGTTACGACCCTCCAGGTAGGCAAAGGGGCACCGAGGGGCACCGAGGGGCACCGCATGCATGGCGCCGTCGCTAACTGGATTCTGTACACAGTGTTGGGCAGGATCACGGGCCACAACACAAGTGCGTTAATCGTGAGCGCGTTTCACTTTGTTGCAAGCTAATGGCTTTCCAGAGTGCCGTCATTGCGGTCTACGGAGCAGTGCTGTTTGATCTGAGTTTGTAACTTGTTGGCTTACACTGCCCGCCTCGATTGGTCGCTATTAGCGCCGCCCACTGCTCTGTAAATTTGAGGCTGTCAGAGTGATGCCGGGGACAGAGACGGGTGCCTGCTAGGGTTGTTGACGACCGGCTTGGCGTGCCCGCCGTGAGTACCGGCACTGCCTTTTCGGCGCCCGACCGGCAGTTCGGGTGGTTCTGCTCGAGCTGGTGGTAGGGAGACGGGGTGGGGTCGTCGCGGTGGCTCCCCGTGGGCTTGCCCGTGGACTCGCGGCGGCCCGCGGCGTCCTTGGAGCGACACGTGTGTCGCGCTTTGGATTTCTTTGAAGATGCCCGCGGCCACAGCAGCAAGCTTCGCCCTGTTTGATGGAGCCACGGACGAGCCTCCCCCGCGCTGTGCTGTGCGAGCACGCACGCGCGCAGGTTACTAATTCGTTCGAGAAAGAAGTCGGACCGCAAACAGCACGAGATGACTGTTGACTAGATCAACACGCCGCAAATCCCGGCGTCGCAAAATAACAAACCGCCCCGCCTCTCCGCCGCGCCCCGCCTCACCCGACCCAGAGAGGGTTACGGCCGTGGTGTTCGCACCCCGGGCCCCCACCCCCTCTTGCTCGTGGATTTGCACATGCAAACAGCAGCCCCGGGCTGCCGAGCGATACTCTCCAAGTCGTACTGCTAGATCGACTTGGGGACGCAGACGCCCTCCACGGTCTGCACGGCCTTCGCCTGCTTCGCGTGCTTCGCGGCGAGGAGATGAGGACTCGAGACACGCGGGGGACGCACGGGGACTTCGGCGGATCTGCCTACGCGCCGTGAACAGTGTTTAACTAGAGTAATTTCTATCGAAAGACGAAGGCAAACACGCTCAGATTTGTGTTTTTCAATATTTGTTGGGCTGTCGGAGCTCGATTTTCTTTTGTGTCCATTGGACGCTTCCTCTTTCGGAGATCCGTTCTGTGTACAGTACACCGAAGGGAGGTTTCAAAAATTCGTGGACATGTTTTGTTTTCGTTATTATAATTTTTCATTTAGGATTATTGAAGAGCGCACGCACAATGCGACTTCCCGGGCAAGCATCGCTCTGAGTCACCCCTCTGGCCCACTGTTGCAGCGTCGTGGAGGCGGCAGGCACGCAGACGCTGAAGGCCTCGGATCTCGACTGCTGCAGGAGAGACCTGCAGGATCTGTAAGTAGTGCACGCCCAGCGCTTTACCGAGCTTCATCGAGTTCTGTGCGCCGTGGGACCGTGTTCCGTGGGACCACAGGGCCGCATGAAATTAGGGAATTAGTTGAGGCTTTGAAGCGCCGTGGGGCACGGCCGGCCGGGCCAGGGCCGGGCACGGCACCACACAGACCTAGAAACGCGCTGTGTCTCGTTGCAGGACGCTGGCGGACCTCAAGAACCTCACCAGCATCGAGAGCGGCATCTTGCACGACATGGGTCAGCTCAGAACCTTGTAAGTGGCACTGCTTCGTGAAGGAGTCTTGTCTTCCCTCGGTCCAGTGTAGCATGCGCTCAAAGCGAAGGCCCTCTGCAATCAAGACCACCGTCCGAAGCCTTGGCACAAGTTGTCCTGATTATGAATAAGGCACTCTGTCGTAACTTCCTCTCGCACCAAAGTCCATTAGGTGCCCCTGTCTCCTGGCTTCATGTAAAGTGACAAAGTAAGAAATGAAAACCCTCCCTCCCCGTTGTGTCGGAGTTTCAATTCGGTCCCGACAACGTCGTTCCAAAAACTGGAGGGGACATTTGCGTCCTTCTCATTCCCTCCGCCGTGCTTGCAGGGAGCTGTACCGGCTGCAGAAGCTGACCCACATCCCACACGACGTCTTCAACGTGGCCATGCCCAGGCTGAGGCTGCTGTACGTATCATAGACGCTCCTCCCTTTGTGTCGGACTCTACTCGGTGTGAGACGAAACTTGCGTTGCAGGCGCATCATGCAGACGGGGCTGAAGCATCTGCCGCCGCTCAACATGCTGGCCCAGATCCTGGAGATTGTGTAAGTGACCTTCACTCAGTGACCGCCTGTTGGATCACAACGGCCGACGTGAAGTACAGTAGTCAGCTAGCTGGCCCCTTGCTTGTCGCCCAGCAGCAGGGTGAGGGGCTCCACGCGTCGCCCCCTGGCCACCCTAGTTCCGCCACTGGCAGCGGGGCGCCCGTCGGCCCATTCCGTTTCAATACAGCCTCATTCCCGTGTCGACTTGATCCGTACTGGCGTGGCTGGCTGGCGCTGGAAGGGGTGACACTGAAGGGGACTCTGCCAAAAGGAGGCGTGTCGACTTTCGACTGGAGGGCAGAATTTCCTCTTTCCTGTCGCTTTTGTACGTGAGCCGACCGCAGAGAAACTTTTGAAGGCTTGTTAAAAAGCGAAGCCATAAAGTAAAGAGGCCCTCCACAGGGCAAACATCCTATTCCTGTCCGTTCCTTGGGAATCTTTCCACCTCTCTCTCCAACAAAATAAATACTGAACTGAAGCGTTCCTTGAATCGTCAAGACAACCGTGGAATTTGGGGCTCCGTTGCGACGTAACGCGGATAAAGGGACCGAGTTACGCAAACATGTTCCCTTTCTTGTCCCGCAGTGAATTCGAGGGGAACGACATCAGCTTCCTCTCGTCGCACTCCGTGGCCGTGCGGACCTCCATGCTGTGAGTACCGTTTTTCAGGCAATCTTATAGTTGGTTGCTTTCAAAAATCGCCTTGTCAATTTTTTTGCGCGCTGTTGGCCTGGTGTGTCCTTGCTTTAATGCGTGTCCTTCTCCAGCAACCTCGGCTACAACCTGATCGAGCACGTCGCGGCGCGCGCCTTCGACACGTCGCAAATCGCTCGCCTGTGAGTATCGGGGGCCTTGGGAGCGTGTCCTGCCGCCACTCCGCATCCCGTCAAGTCTAACACGCCCCCCCCCTCTTCCCCATCTCGCTTTCGTTCCAGGAGCCTCAAGGGCAACGCCAACCTGCGCACCCTTCACCAGGACGCCTTCCTGGGCATCGACAGTCTCCGACACCTGTGAGTGTCAACGCATGAGAAAAAGTGACCCACCCCGACCCGCCGTGACCAGCTTCAATATCTATATACACGATCTCGTACATGGGTCACTTTTCTCATCCGTCCCAATGTCACTGTGTCTTTGTGTGAGCGAGAGCGCGAGTGTGTGTGTGTGTGTGTGCAGCGAACTGATGATACATCTACTTCCAGCGACCTGTCGAGCACGTCCATCACGGACCTGCCAACCCGCGGCCTGGAGAACTTGGAGCACCTCCTCCTGCAGGACACTCACCTGCTCAAAGTCTTCCCAGCCGCGTTCCATTTCAAGGTACTCCGCCAATTTTTCAACGTTTTTTGCCGAGTCCTTTCTTGTAGACATTGTTGGGTCCATAATTCGCTTTCGCGACTCAGGCTTTGCAGGTGGCCAACCTGACCTACCCGTACCACTGCTGCGCCTTCAGCTTCCCCGCCCAGCACCGGCCGCAGGAGTACGCCAACTACCAGGTATGCCTCACGCGGCTCACTGGCTGGACACCACACTGCCTTTGTTCGGCCGCTGACCCTCCCCGCCCGGCCCTGCCCGGCCCTGCCCACATTCCCCAACACAAACAACTCTGGTTTCGGGTTTCCGTGCGCCGCGCGTGTGCAAGGCTGAAACCGCGGACCGCGCCCCTCCCTGCGAAAAGACATTACCGCTTGCCCCGCACTTTTATTACGTTCCCTTTCGTCTCGTGTCTCCACTCTTTTTTTCTCCTTTACGTAATATAAGTACGCCCCTTCTTACCTCCTCCCCCTGCCCTTATTCTAGGGTATTTTGCAGGCACTTCGCATTTTTTTACGTCCTTTTTGTTTTTATCAACGCAACCGCTACTAAAAACGTCGCTTCGAGTGAATTCCGCAGGCTGAAAGTGAATAATCTACCCGTACAAGGACAGCGCCTGCCTCGCGCAAAAATACCATGTGCAGGCTGTGGTTATAACGCGACGTGTACATAACGATCCGGGGCGGAGGAGCCACTCGGCCGCGCACAGTTCGCTCCGACGTTGCGGGCGAAGCCGACACGAAGCCGCGCGATGCCGGGGTGTGCGCCACTCAAGACAAGGCCGGCCAACTTTGCAATGTTTGCGAGGCGCCGCGCCGCAGTCAAGAGGGCGGCAGAGAAAAGGGGGGGGGGGGAGGGGGAGGAGGGTGCTCTCCCTCATTCAAAAGCCAGTCGCCTTTTTCCACAATGTCCCCTCCTGTCAGAGAGCGGCAATCAGACTACATTAAACTTGAAATTTCCGCCCTCCCTAATCTTTCTTGTTTTCCTCTGCGTTACTTTTCCCGGGCTTCCTTGCATCTTTACAGAAACGAACGGAAAGCAAAAGCGGCCGGAGAACACACCTCGGTACACACTGAGAGGAACGTTCCGCCCCAACAAGTACTAAATGCCAAGCCGCCGGGAGCGGGCCATTTTTGTCCCTCTCCTCGTCGGCGAGAGTGAGTGTCGAGACTGGCGCCCGTTTTGACGATGTATCAGCGTCACACCCCGCCCCGCCGGACCAAAGTTTCCTCCGACAAGAAGTCGGACGTCCAATTCATCGCGGTTGTTGTTTTTCTTCGTCACGCGTCCCCTCCATCTTGGTCTCGTTTCTTGCGGGAAGACACACAAGCTGAGTAGTATGGGTGCCCCATTGTTACACGCCGCCATGCGCGCTCGCACTCACGGCAACGAAACCGCTCGCGCCAAAGCGCCACAGCAGCTTGCCACTCAAGAGACCCACAATGCCCCTTCCAGGAAAAGCTGCGCGAAGCCCAGGCCCGCTGCTCCGCCCTCAACAGCTCCAACGTGGTGGCGGTGGCGGCGGAGGGCGCAATGCAGCCACTCGCCATGTTCCTGGGCCCCGCCGTCGTCGACAGCCGGCGGACCGCGGGCTGGGAGGAGGAGACCTTCCACCTGGTGAGTGGGCGGCGCCAGGACGCCGTCTCCGAAAATAAAACAGTGGCACTCAAAATGAAAACAGGCATGCATTCAGCATTCTTCAGCGAAGCAATTCCAACGCGCGCGCCGAGCTCAAAACGAAGTGTCTTCTTTTCAAGAGGGCTCCGTTTTCTCGGCAGAGTTTTAAAACTTGCCAAACTCACTTTCACCACAATCGTCACACCTCCTCACCTTACGGCGCTAACAAGAATAAATTCTCTGATCCCGCAGGACAACGTGACCCTCCACACGGGCGTGCTGGAGGCGGTGTGCGGCGCGCTGGGCCGACCGCGCCCGCCCGTCACGTGCTCGCCCGAGCCCGACGCCTTCTCGCCGTGCGAGGACCTCATGGGCAACTGGCTGCTGCGGCTGTCGGTGTGGGCCGTGTCCGTGGCCGCGCTGGTGGGCAACGGCACCGTGCTGCTGGTGCTGCTATCGCCGCGCCGCCGCCTCTCCGTGCCCCGCTACCTCATGTGCCACCTGGCCGCCGCCGACCTGGCCATGGGCGCCTACCTGCTCATGCTGGCCGTCATGGACGCCGTGTCCATCGGCGCCTACTTCAACTACGCCATCGACTGGCAGAACGGTGGGTGTTCCCCCCTCCCCCTTTTTCTCTTAGTCAATGCCCGGCCCTGTTTGCCCACGGTAATTACAAATAAAACGCAGACAGCTGATTGGCTGGCGCAAGTAATGGCGGCTGGCTTCCGTTATTCGTTTTGCTGTCAGTAATGCCGGCGGTGCGGTCAAGGTCACGCGCGCGCCGCGCCAGGCTCATGGCCAGGCCGTGCGTGCACGCAGCGTGCTGCGACTCGTGCGGGCCACGCCACCCGTCGGCTCAACTTCTCTTTTTTTGCCGGGGTGCTAAACTCAGTGCACACACCGAAGAAAAAAAAACTTGATTTCTGATGAGTCAAGAAAAACAGGAGGAGCTTCCTGGCGCACTGGCGCTCTTGCGGCGGCCATCGACGTCCGTTTCTCTCCTACCCCCGCGCGAGGTGGGGGCGCTGTTTACACCCACAAGGCTCAACCCTGGCGGGCCGGTGAACCTTCCGTTGCGGGTTCATACATTTTAAAGTAAAGCCCTTCCTCACAGGTCAAAGCCCCTCTGAACTTTACTCCGAAAATTTTGGGGAAACAATTGTCGCGGAGAGGAGGCCGGGGATGGGGCCGTGTCCGCGCGGCGTCGCCCCCGCCGGGAGTTGAACCCGAGCCTCGCGGAGATGAGACGCGTCGTCGACCCCCCAGTAGGCAGGTGTCGCCTGGCTAACTGCCCCGTGTGCTCTCGACGCCGACACCCCGACTCCCCGGCACACATTCTCACCTCAGCAGACAGATTCCGAGAGGCGTTTTCGTCGCACTGTCTCTCTCGCTCTCACATGGGGCGAGTGCGTGAGAGACAGAGACCCCACGTGACCGGCGTTGCGCAGGCATGGGCTGCCAGGTGGCGGGCTTCCTCACCGTGTTCGCCAGCGAGCTGTCCGTGTTCACGCTCACGCTGCTCACCACGGAGCGCTGGTACACCATCACCTTCGCCATCCACATGAACCGGCGGCTGCGCCTGGGCACGGCCATGCGCATCATGGCGGCCGGCTGGGTGTACTCCGTGGTGATGGCGCTGCTGCCCCTGGTCGGCGTCAGCGGCTACTACGTCACCAGGTGAGTCCGGCTTTCATAGATCAGGATCACGCCACCCATTATTTTTCCGCTTTGCATCTCCGATGGTAATCTGCACGAGCAATCCCATTTTCAAACGGTTGGCGCGGGGCGCGGCGGCACGCTGTGTTGTTGTTTTTGTTTTTGTTCGCGGGCGCGTGGAGGATGGTTACGTGGAGGATGGAGCACCCCGCGGCCCGCCTTTGTTTCCTGGCATCGGCACTGCGCGAGCGAAACGCAATCCCACTACACCGGAGAAAGAGAGTTGGGTGAACGCACCAACAAGTTTCCTGATTAACTTTTTCTCACTGAATGGTTGCAGCACGAAGCAGGGCTGTTGCTTCCACCTCCACGCGCCCCCAGAAGCATTTGTGCTTTTGATCTCGCGGCCTTTCCTTCCCACTGCCGGAATTAATCCCGCGTGCTCGGTGACGTAATTACCGCGCCCCGTGCCAACATCACATGGCGGCCGCCTCCAAAGTTTCATCACTTGGCGGCGGGATTCGGTGTCGGCGCGAGGGGCGACAAGACGGGAAGACAGAAAGGCGGTGTTTCCGAACGTCAAACCGGGCGAAACGCGACGCCGTCACGGCGCGCCACGCCGTGCCCAGCCCCTCCCACCCTTGCTTCGCGCTTCGCGGTGGCCCGGGCCGTGAGGGCCGCGATCCAGTGCCGCCAACTGTTGAATAAGGAATGTGGGAGGACGGCGCGTTGGCTGGCGTTGCCGGCGGCGATCCACCTTGCCGCTGCCGCTGCCGCTGCTGCCCTGCCGGCATACCAAGAGGGGAAGCGGCGCGCCTCCCCGTAGGACCACTTCCGGCCAGCGCCGTCTCTCTCGCACTCGCGCTGCGCACGCGGCGTCCGGAGGGAGTGCGAGAGAGACGCCGGCGGCGGGTGCTGTGGGGCTCCAGTAATTATTTCCCGACAACTTCGCCCGCCAGCCGCGCGCGCCCTTTGGGAAACAATGCCAGAGGAGACCCAGCTGACTCCCTGTTGCAGCATCTGCCTGCCGCTGCGGTCGCTGATGACGCGCGACAGGGCGTACCTCGGCGCGCTGCTCGCCTTCACGGCGCTGGCCTTCACCGTCATCTGCGCGTGCTACTGCCGCATGTACAGCGCGGTGCGCGGCGGCCAGGACGCGCGCGCCGCCATGCAGCGCTCGGACGTCACGGTGAGTGGACCGCCGCACAGCTCGGGGCATCTAAGGGCAAGGTCGACGCGATGATGGGGGGTCGGAACCATCATTCAGTCTGCCAGTGTGTCTATGGGTGGCTCCAAAGTGAGGGACGGGTCGCCTTGGCAACGCGAAGACTCGTGTGTCGAAGCGGCGCCCGGCTCCAGCCTCGCCAATGCCATTCACAACTTTCAGTGAGAGACGACCTCGGTGCGCGTGTGGCCCGTGCGCCCCCCCCCCCCCCCCCCGGGAGGCGGGTGCTCGGTCTCTCTCGCGCCCCCGCAGGAAGCCCCACGAGCGCGAGCGAGACAGAGCGATGCGAAGCACTCTTCACGAAATGCCTAAAAACGCGCCGAATTCAACGAGGCGATGAAAAATGTCCCCGCGATATCAATCTGGGGGCATTAGGCTCCTGGGGGCGGGGCCACCTGGGTCCCCCGCCACCAGAAAGAATATCGCATAAATCTGGAAAATAATAATTGCGCGTCGGATTCGGCGCGGCCGGAGGGCCGGAGGGCGGGAGGCACTGAGCGCGGCGCCCCGTCAGCATCCTGGAGGGGGCGGCGAAAAGGCGGCGGTGGCGTGGGCAGCGTTATTTTTGGCGCCCGCCGTCCTCTGACGAATCCTTGCGTGTGCTCGGCGTGCTCGGCAAAGGCAGCGACATGCAGGATGTCCTCCAGGAATTTCAATCGCGGCCACCACCAATGCCGCCGCCGCCCCCCTGGGGCAGAGGAAAAAGGGAGGGGGGGGGAATAGGGTGGACACGCTCCATGCAAGACAGCGAGGCCGCTATCTGATGTCACCCTCGCAACCCTGACTGCGGGCCGCAGGCGGCGCGGCGGCGCTCTCTGGCGGCCAGATCCTGCAGCACGATTGTTGTGGGGAAAGGAGCAGAAATACGGCCCACTAAAGAACGCAAAGGGGTGGACCATTAGGAAAAGGCGCGGCGTGTTTTGAATTTTGGCGCCGCCGTTTGTCTCGACACGGCACGCCCGCAGAAAGAGCGTGCCTCCAGAGGTGGGCAAAACTCTAGACGCGTTTTGAGCTCCAGAGTCGCGAAACAGGACGCGAACAGGGCTCGTGACCCCACCAATGGATTCCTCGTTCGGAGAGCAGTCCATTGGTGGGGTCACACGTTCGGTTCGAGTCCTATTTAGCGACTGTGGAGCTCAAAACGCGTCTAGAATTTCGGCCGCCCCCACCGATCTTGGGCCACTGTACTGTGAGCCGGCTAGTCGGCTTCATTTTTGTTCCCAGGAGGATCTTGTTGGGTTTTGGCAGCCGATTCGATAAGCGCTGGCAGTTGGTTCGAAGCTCGCGCCTCGCGTTCGGAGAGAGGGACGGCTGGGTTTATTTCGAGTCAAAGCAACCGCAGTCGATTCCCGTTCAAGTGGTGCCAGAGGCGGCCAGAGGGGCCCGTGGCGGCCTGTGGCGAGTCAGCCAGTCGCGCCACCAGTTTGGGAGACAGAGATGTAAAGGACTTCACTTTTCTCCTTTTGCCCCCCCACGTCCCGCTGTAATTAATGTCCCGAGTTCACAGAATCCCTTTTCTCAGTGCCGCGACGCGCTCCCGGCCCCGAAAAGAAGAGCCCACCCACCGGAAAGGGTGGCTCGCGGCTCATTACTCGTTATCCAGCCAATCCACCCCCAAATCGGCCCCCAATTCGCTGCCGGAGTGACGCTAACCAGTGGAACCTGCGCTCCAATCTGCCTGCGTCGTGAGACACGCCCCCTCCCCTTTCCCGCTTGCGGGCATCTTGGTTTGTCGACGTAAGGGAGGGGAGGGGATACGCCTTGTGTAACGGGCTTGGCTATCCGTTTTCAATAACTCCTGCCACAACGTTCATGAGAAAAAATTTTTAAAAAAAAGAGAGAGAGAGAAGGGCACTGTTAAAAAAAATCTGAAAATTCAGCCCCTTTTGTCAGATTTGGTGGTCTGAATCTATTTTTCAGACTGTTTAAACTGCTTGTCTAAAAATTTTTGCCTTCCGGTATAAAAATTGCGCCCTGATCGTCTCAGAACCTGAATTCAGACCAGCGCAGTCTGAAAATTTAGAGGGTTTAAGTCTGAAAATTCAGACCAACCCAAGATTCGTTTGTCCGCTAGATGGCGCGCATTTTGTGGAACATACCTACTTCTGTTTAAAAGGCTTCTAATGGAAAATATATTGGTTCAAAAGTTCCAAATTGATAGGACTTAATCGGCCATATGAGAACCATTCTCTGCCGCAAGATTTATCTCCCTAATATGGGTGAAAGTTGAACAATCCACATTCTAATTTACCTCTCGCGGGTGGCTCCGTGTCGCCTTTTCCTTTGGGGTGGCACGGGCCCGGTGTAAGCGGCGAAATGACCCCCCGGCTCAGGGAACCCTCGGGTACATCTCGCCTAGGACCAAGGTACCCGGGGGTACACAACGCCTAGGCTCAATGTACCCCGGGTACCTCAGCTGGGGGACACTGAGCAGGCGATTTTACGCCCACAAAAAGCAAAGGGGTTGTACCTGGGAAAAAGGCCGGTGTTTTGTATCTCCCCCGTTGGGATACGGCAGCCTGGCAGAATGGGCCCCGGGGGGTGCAAAAACCTAGGCGAATTGTATCCCTCCCCGAGAGGATGCAAAAACAGGGGATTTTACTTCCCAGGCAGGATTGCGATCGTCAAGGTGTTTTATTGAACCGACGGAGGTTCTAAAACTAATTTAACCCAAACTCCAAAGCCAAAAAGGGGCCGTCAGAATTTACTCCGCCCGCCACGATCTAGTCCCAAAAACTAAAAACTGTGACCGGTAGTCCCCAATTTTCCCCCGGGATGTTGGGTGTACAATTCGCCTTGGCATTTTTTAACCGGGGTACAATTCGCCTAGGAGAGTTGTACCCCCCCTCGGTTTATGGAGAAATACAACCGCGGGTTTTTCCCCCGGTACAAGTGGCCTAGGCGGCCCGGGGTACAAACTCGCCTAGGCTCAGTGTCGCCCCTAGGCCTGAGGACCAGGAGAAAAGAGCCTGCTGGTGTCCCCCGGTCCTGGTCCTAGGCGAGATGTACCCGAGGTTCCCTTTCCGGGGGCCACTACCGCCGACCCCGGGCCCCCCCAGAGAGCCACCAACGGGAAACAGGGCCCTTTCTCCCTCATCCCCTTTTCCTCAATCCTCTCGAAGGTTCCCAACCTCAGATTTTTCGTCATAGTGAATATCCACGAACCTTAAAGTTCACATTTTCGTACAGCCCTGCCTTTTCCGCCACAATCTTAAATGTAAGACTCTCGAGGGGGAAGTTATACCCTAATGGTCTGATTTTCAGACCTATCCTTTTCAATAACTCCTGCCCAATTCGGAAAATTTTCAGATTTTTTTTTAAGAGGGGGAAAATGACGGGGTTTGTTTTTACTTTTCCATAACGCAAGTTAGGTGTGTGCGGGGCAAAGGTTGTTTGGGTGGTGACCCCAGGGGTTCTCATCTGCTAATGGGCCGGGCAAAGAGTGGGAGAGAACGAGAGAGAAAGGGGAAAAAGGGATTGTATCGCTCGATTGTTTACCCTGCTGGGGCGGCTTACACGCGCTTTCACACGAGGAAACATACCGGACTGGCAATCCATAATCCACAGTAGACCAGATTTGCCTTGGATATTGCAAACGTGTGACACAAAGCTCCCCATCCATCCCCCGCGCTGGCGGCAGTGCAGGCCGTTCGAGCGAATGCCGACGCAAAGTGGAGTTGAACTCGGTGTTGCAGCGCTGCGCCGTGCAGGTGGCCAAGCGCATGACGCTGCTCGTACTGACGGACTTCGCGTGCTGGGCGCCCATCGCCTTCTTCGGCGTGACGGCGCTGCTGGGCGCGCCGCTCATCGACGTGCCGCGCACCAAGATCCTCCTCGTCTTCTTCTACCCGCTCAACGCGTGCGCCAACCCTTACCTCTACGCCCTGCTCACCCGGCAGTTCCGCAACGACCTGGTCACGCTGCTGGGCCGCTACAAGTTCTTCGCCACGCGCGCCGCCAAGTGAGTGCACTGGTAATTTGTTGGTAGGAAAGGTTTTTAAGAGTGCGGAGCTGGAGTGGTCTAGCCCTTAATGGTAATGGCAATGGAGCCCCTGCGAAGTGCCCGCCCGACGCGCCTGCACACCGTGTTGCCTACCCGCCGCTTGGCAGGCGCTTTCTCGGCCGGTCCCTCCTGACAGTGTGTGCCCCTGCCCCGCAGGTACAAGGGCGGCCCGGCCACCACGCCGAGGGAGTCTTCGCGGCGCGTGGACCCGCTGAGCGGCGCCGCGCTGGCGCACCGCGCGTTGCACACGGGCCAGCTGGCCACGGCGTCGGGGCTGGTTCCCGCCAAGCAGCGCGACGACTCCACCGAGCTGGAGCTGGTGCTGGTGGAGCGGAGCCGCGTCGCCAGGACGTCCATCGCGGCGCTGCCGCCGCCCGTCCCGGAGCCCGTCAAGGAGCCCGTCAAGGAAGCCGTCTTGGCCGTGGAGGAGGACGGCCAGGACGAGGCCGACGACGCGGCCTTGGCGACCTTGGCGGCCCCGGAAAGCAGTGCCGGCGTCTAGTGGACTGCGACGAAGGTCTAGGAAGGTGACCGCTGGGCGGCTACTCGGAATGCACGGCGAGGTGGCGTGCCGCGTTGCCGGGACGTTCCAGTGCTTCCAGTGTGGCAGTGGCGTAGTTATGCGGCGCTGGCCTGTTGCCCCACCGCCCTGCCGCCCTGCCACGCCCACCGCCCGATGGCTGCCGGGGTGGAGGCGGCTCCGTGTCACATTCCGGGCACGGCCCGACGCCCTGCCAGGGCCCTGCCGACTGTCTCTCTCTCTCTCTCTCTCTCTCTCTCTCTCTCTCTCTCTCTCTCTCTCGCCCCTCCGGGACGCGCCATGAGTGCGACGGAGACGGCGCGACGAAATACGTACGACTGACTCCGGGAGGCGCGTTGCCGCGCGTTATGGTGATGATGGCAACATCGGTCTCCCGCTCGACATGTGCGTTGGCCGCAAAAAGGAACGAAGACGGGATGGATTCGGCGTCGCGCTGAGCGAGGCTGCCCCCCCCCCTTTTCCCCTCAGTCTCTCTTTTCTGGTTTCAATCTCCCGGCTTTGGTTTTGTTTCTGGACGTAAGAGCCGAGCCCAACAGCGTATTCATTTCGGACGAGAAGAGTCACGGGGGTTGATTTCTTCTTTGCCAGTGTCGAGGGCGGTGCAGCCTCCCCCCCCTCCCCCTCCGTGCCGCCGGCCATCCGCCCCTTGAAAACGTCTCGAGCGTGATGTATGAATGGGGAGGGGGAGTGCCTAATTGGGGCCACGACGTCCATTGGCCCAAATTCATCCCGACAGCTTTGGAGGAGCTCGCGCGGCACTCGCTCGGCGGGGCCTTCTCTTATACAGTGTACTTTCTGCGCGTCGCGGCGTCGCGGCGGCCAAAGCCCTGTTGCGTTTTTCGTGTCGTGCTTTGGCAACGCGATGTTCGGCGTGTGGAGGGCCGACCTGGATCGGCTCTTGTTGTTGTTTTGTAGATTACGACTGTGACACGAATTTGTAATATAAAAAAATAAAGAGGATGAAAAAAAATGTCTGTGCTGCTCAATGTTGACACCCTCATGCAACACACGCCATAAAATGATCAAAGTCCGTTTCGTTCATTGCCGGTGATTCAAAAAGCAACAACAACAGAACATGATCATGTTTTGTTTTATTCGAACGATAAAAAAAATTGAACTGAAACAGAAAAGGGGGGGAGTGATTGTACGCGTGGTGCCCTACGCCTTCTCCGTGACCACGGACTCGGACACGGACACGCTGGTCACGCCCGAGGACACCGAGGCCGTGTCGTCGACGGGCGGCGCGCACGCCAGGCTGGGGAACTTCTTCGTGAGGGCCGCCCGGTACCTCGGATGGCTGAAAATACCCCGGATGAGTACAATTTCGAGTCTTTAAGTTGCACGATTTTGCCCCTTACTCACCTGATGCCGTACACGATGGGGTTGTAGCACGCTCCCGTCTTGGCGAACAGGGAGCTCCAGATGGTGGCGAGGGGGCTGATCTTGTAGCCCTCGAAGATGCCCGTGTAGTTGATGATGAGGTAGGGCGTCCACGCCATGAACCACAGCGAGATGGTCATCAAGGCCACCTGCGCAGGGAAGCGAGCGTTACCCGAGGTTCGGGGACGGACTCGTTCCGTATTCCAGGCCGGGCCTCACCTTCGCCAGCTTGGCCTCCGCGCTCGTCTGCGCGTTCTCCGCGGACCGGAGCGAGGCCACGTTCATCTTCTTGGCCTGCTCGCGCATGTTCTTCTCGTGCGCGCACACCGCCTGCACGATGTAGAAGTAAGCCCAGATGATGATGATGAGCGGCAGGAAGTAGACGAAGCACGAGTACACCAGGATGTAGCTCCGGCTGAAGAAGTCCTTGTTGAGGTAGTCGGTGCCGCACGCCGTCATGTTGCCTTCGGGGACGTACCTGTCGGGGGGAAGGGGGAGGGGGCGTGAGGTTCCATCCCGTCCAGCCCTTTTCAATTAGAGCGTCATTCCCACCGCGAAGCAATACCTGTTCCAGCCCACCAGGGGAAATACGGTCCACACGCTGGCCATGGTCCAGATGAAGAGGATCCAGAGGAAGGCCTTCTTGTTGGTCATGGGCGCCGCGGACAATCCCTGGACAAAAAAAATACGGGTCATTTAAAAAAAAAATGTTGTATCTACTGGCGCTTTACACAGTTGTTCAGAAGACCGGTGGAGGCGGCAAAAACTCTAGACGCGTTTTGGGCTCCAGAGTCGCTGAATGGGATTCGAAACCGAACGTGTGCCCCATCAATGGATTGCTCTCCGAAAGAGGAATCCATTGGTGGGGTCACACGTTTGGTTTGTGTCCCATTTAGCGACTCTGGAGCTCGAAACGCGTCTAGAGTTTTGGCCGCTCCACCGGTCTTCTGGCCCACTGTGCGCTTGCCCGTCCACTCGACACGCACTCTGACGATGACGTTGTATCTGTCCATGGCGATCAGCGTCATGGTCCAGATGGAACCGCAGCCGAACAGGGACCCGAAGAAGCCGTATAGCTCGCACATGAAGGGGCCCAGCACCCAGGTCTCGTAGTAGCAGTTGATGACCATGGGGGGCGCCATGGTGAACATCATGAGGAAGTCGGACATGGCCAGGTTGACGACCAGCATGTTGGACGGGGTGCGCAGGCCCTTGGTGGAGCAGAAGATGTAGACCACGACGCCGTTACCGATCAGGGAGATGACGCCCAGGACGCCGATCACGAAGCCCAGCAGGCCGTGCCATAGGGGGTTCATGGGGGGGAATTGGTACCTGGAGTCCGAAACGGTCAGTGCAAGGCGAACGCAAGGTCAAGAGCCTCTTTTTATTCCCTACTCACCAGTGGGGGTCCACCATGTGCATCATCTCGGGGGGCACCTTGTCGACGACGGTGTGGTTGCCGAACCCCCCGGTGGCGGCCTGCCATGTGTAGGCGCTGAAGTGGGGCTCGTGCAGCAGCGACATGGTGGCGGCGGCCTGCCTGCACAGCGGACACGTATGTAATTTTATTTGGCGCGAACGAGCCACGCGCGGAGCGCCGAGCCGCGCCGCGGACGCAGAGTGGTCCAACAGTCCAGCGGGTTTTGTGGCCCCCAAATCCAACCAATCTCAATTCAGGGCAGCGACCACTCTCACGCACACACTCACACACACTCAGCAGCCATCAGTCGACCAGTGCACTGGAAAACGAAACTCCGCAGCTGGTGCCCGAGTCCCTACGCTTCATATCTTTTTCCGACTACTGGTTAGCTGAAGGGGCAGGATGGGGCCAACGGCGCACTGCCCCAGCGAGAGAGACAGACGCCGAGACGGAGGCAGAGAGACGAGGCGGGCAGTACGGTGAGGCTGACCTGTTCCGCCCCGTCTCCTCGAGTCCACGCCACAAATAGTTCGACGCCAGACGCCGCGTGTGGGGCGGAGTCTACAAACTCCGGCCCGGCCGCCCGCTTCCAGCGGCTTCCAGCGGCTTCCAGCGGCTTACAGCGGCACAGCGGCACCGCGATGCGCGGTCGGGCCGCCGGTCGCAGTGGGGCGACGCCTTCCACCAGCCTCGCTCCGGCTGGACAAAGGCCCACCTCCGTCCACCTCACTGGGGCTTTCTCGCACTCACGCGACGCCCCGTGTGGGTGCGAGAGAGACGGACTCACTCTGCTTGGGCTTGTTAACGGGACCCGTATCGGGCCGCCTCGCTGGCCAGAGTCTGGCAGTGTCGAACCGCGGTGCGCTATCCTTGCCAAGTTTGGCGTTCCACAGTGGCGTGGCGTCCGCGGCCCGCCTCGCCGCCCCTAGCCTGGAGCCTGGAGCCTGGAGCCTGGAGCCTGGAGCCGCAGCTGGAGCCACCGCGGCACTGCTGCGCTCGGTTTTAACTTGCACTGATGAGGCCTTGGGCACTTCTTTTTCCCGCCGGAAACTTGCGCGGCACTCTCTCTCACTCACACTAGCGACGTGTCCGGCTGACGGGCGGCTCCGGCCGGGTCCTGGGCGTCCTGGGCCCGCGTCGAATCGCGATAAGGCGTTTCACATCCGCGCTCGATACAGCCCGACTGCGCCGCTTCCACGGGACTGTCCGTAGAAGACACTTCCCGCGACCAGCGCCTCGAGAGTGGCGCCGCGAAGGCCACCACGTATATATACGTCCACGCACAAGGCTTCCCCGCCGTGGGACCCGCCGGCCCCGCCGCCTGGCATGGCCGCCAGGCCGCAAGGCCGCTCTGAACTTTCACCCCGAAAACTAGGTTTGTGTGCGCCCTGCACCCCGCCCCGCCCCACCCCGCCCCGCCCCGCCCCGCCCCGCCCCGCCCCGCCGCACACGCGCCGCCGCCGCTCTCCTGGCCGCAGCCACGCTGCTAATTAGTTTAGGCCGACACGTTTCGCGGGGAGCGTCTCGGCGCGTCTAGTGTGGGCAACGCGGCGGTGAGAACGTCCCACAATAAAATGGTCCAATGCGAAAAAGAAGAAGAAGGAGTTGGGGAGACGCAGGCGTCGGCATCGGCCTGGCCAGCCCCACATGAAAATGATTAAGCTGTCCTGTGTCGACTAACGAGGGCAAAGAAGTCCACCGAAGTTCCAGAGCCAATGTCCGTCCGAAAGGCACTTGATCGACTGCTAAGGCGGCTCCACGCCACCCTCCTCGAGAGCAGCGACTCGAGTTGATTCACGCGGAAAACAGAAACACGCCTCGACCGCGCACGAGTCGGGCCGAGCTGCGCCTAAGCAGGCTGAGACCCACGTGTCCCTCGTGAGCTTTTCTCGCCGACACTCGCATGCAAACAACATGAAGGGAAATACATTCTGACGCTGACGCATTTCACACGGAGTACACCCGGCTTCGCGAGGACTCTCAGTGTAACTGTCAAACCCAAATTTCAGATTAAATGGGGATAGTGACCTACGGAGAGTCCTGTCGGGATAGAAAAAAACAGAGAAACTTTTCAAAGTTTTTTTTTTCGGCCCTTGCTTGTCTGATCTTGACGGGCAACAGTGATCCCTCTGTCATTTCCATTCCTGCGGTCCCGTCAGTGGGTTCGACACGACAATGCCAATCGAAAAGGTAATCCGGGCGGAAGGGCACGGCATTGGGCCAAGCCTTCCGGCTGGAGCGAGGCTGGAGCGAGGCCGGGGAGCCCTTTTGCCCAAGCCCTCCATATGTGATCGCCCTGTCCCGTCGGCCTCTGTGCTAACCGCACCGCCCTTCAGCACCCAGAGCAAGCAGGGCCCGGCAGGGCCGGCGGGGCCGCGGGGTGTATGCAGGGGGAGGGGAGGGGAGGGGGAGGGGCTGTCACCGCCAGCACACGGCGGCAGCCAAGGCGGCAGCCAAGGCGGCAGCCCCAGCCTAGAGGCCACGGCGGCGGCGCGCCTGACGTCTGTTAGTCTGTACTGCACCGCAATGTCCTGGAACGTCCTGGAACTTCCTCCTGGAAGGAAGCGCGCCGTGTGCTCCCCAAGGCTCTGTCCTTGTGGCGGTAGACGCCACGGTTGAATTCCTCACCTCCAGACGGCGGAGAGAGAAGAACACCGCAAAGGCGGTGGGGTTGCCGCTTCGCACCGGTACTTTGGACTGGTTTTGGTGGAGGTCGGGTTTCTAGAAAGAGGTATCTCCAGTGTGGCAGTCACCAAGGCGGTTCCTGGTTGGCTCCGGGCTAAGCCTGCACCAGGCGTTCCGCTGCAGCCGGTCCCCTCCACTGCGAGAAGGCGGACTGGACAGCCCGGACAGCTCCATCGAGGGCCTCTCCGCGAAGGGAATATGCTGCGGTCCATGGAGTCGCGGAGAGGCGGTCCGTTCCGTGTTAAAGCGAGACAGCGGAGGGGCACGAAAGCCCCCAAAGTGCTCCGCCAACACTGCACTAGGCACTGGCGTGGCGCAGCGTGGTGGGGGTGGGTCTCGTCGGTCACCTCCCTCGTGTATGGCTTCTGTCTAAGGAGACGCACGCCACGCCACGCCCCGCCCCGCCCCCCGCCCCGCCCCCCCCGCCCCGCCCCGCCCCGCCACGCCCCGCCCCGCCACCACGTACTCGGACCGCGTCCGAACCGGCGCCCGAGTGCCCCGAGGGCGAGGCTGTCCCGAACATTATCGCTCGCTGTCTCTCTATCGCACAGCGAGGAGAGGCCCCGCGAGTGCGAGAGAGACAGAGCGACGTAAGCAGAGCGAGGCAACAACGTGTCTGACCCACACGTGCGGCTTGAGTTGGAGGGATATACCCGCCGCGGACCGCGCACCGCGCACGCCGAGCACGCCGACAAGGAGGGCGCGGAGACGGCTCAAAGTCGGCGGCGTGGCCGTGGCGTGGCCGTGGCGTGGCCGTGGCGTGGCCGTGGCGTGGCGGCACCTCGGCGAGCAGCAAAGCCAGGCCGTGTGTTGCACGTGTCAGTCGCCAGGGCTGTCGCCCCCACCCTAATGAGATGGCACGGCAAGCACCCCGCCGCATGCCAGATACCGCGGTTCAACTCCCACTGCCGCGCGATTTTCCCCCCTTTTTCTGGTTGCAATTTGGCAGGGCGAGGAGGCGAAGGAAGTCGCGAAGATGCAAGAGTTGGCGGGGCAGTGACAGGCAGGCGGTGTGGAAGGGGGCGAGGCCCGCGGGATGGCCGGAATACATTAACTCGATTACTTGGAGGATCAAGTTGTTGCGCACCGCGTGGCGCCACGGGCAGAGCATGCCGCCTTAAAACATGAAACAACGCTGCCAGTTTCGGCCGTCGAAAAGAACCTTCTCGTTGCCATCGCATGGATACGGCGCGGCCTCGTTGTCTTTCTGCCCGTGTACCTCAGCACCGACGGCGTGGAGGGTGGTGGGAAGGCCGGCAAGGCAGGCAGCGACAAGATGGTGCAAACGGACTATACAAAGCAGGGGGTGGGGGACCCCAAGCCTGCACCCGACCACCTTGTAATGCGCTGCCCTAGCCTCAAGATGCTGCATCGGCGATTCGGGGCAAGGGGCGGCCGGGGCACACGGTGCACCGCTGCAGCGTCAGTCTTGGCCGGCGTCTTGGCCGCCGCCTCGCCAGACCGCCACGACGAGGTCGCCGACGAGGTCGACGCCGAGGTGCTCCCTGGTGGACTAGTCCATGGACTCCTTGCTCCGGGTCGGGGGGATGTGACAACGGTGGGATGGGGCCTGCCTCGGAACTGCAGTCTGTGCGTCCCGTGCGTGCGTGAGTGAGAGAGAGAGCGTTGCGTGCGACTGCGCCCGGACTTTGAATTCTGCCGAGGCTCAGCTTCCCGGCCTGCACCATGGCGTTGGCCATGGCCATGCCCAGCGAGATGTGGGGCCCCGCCGCCCCCAGCTACCCGGCGGGCTACCCGGCGGGCTACGGCGGCCCCAGGGCCGCCTACCAGTGGGGCGCCCCTCCGGGCGGCGGCTACGGCGGTGGCGGCTACGGCGGCGGCCGCGGCGGCAGCAACGGCACCGTCGTGGACAAGGTCCTCCCCGACATGGTGCACCTCATCGACTCACACTGGTACGCCACGTCGACACCGAGTCGCCGCGACTGCCGAGCACGCCTTCACTTTCGTTCGTGTTGCCAGGCACCAGTTCCCGCCCATGAACCCCATGTGGCACGCCATCCTGGGCTTCGTCATCGGCTGCCTGGGCGTGGTGGCCATCTCCGGCAACGGGATGGTCATCTACATCTTCACCTCCACCAAAGGCCTTCGGACACCGTCCAACCTCCTAGTTCTAAACCTGGCCTTCTCAGACTTTTGTCTCATGTTCGCCATGTGTCCCGTCATGGTCATTAACTGCTACTACGAGACGTGGGTGCTGGGTACGCTTTGAACTTTTCCCCTGATCCGACTGAAACGCCTGGTCAATGCACAAAGTAGTTCTGGCCAGTCGTTTCTGTCCCGGCCCCAATGGCGCGCACTCACCATCCCCCGAGCGTAACGGGCCTCTTTCCCCAGGAACCCTCATCTGCGACCTGTACGGCTTTGCCGGCTCCCTGTTCGGATGCACGTCCATCTGGTCCATGGTGCTCATCGCCATCGACCGGTATAACGTCATCGTCAAGGTGAGTGGTGGACCAGCCCTCCCCGCAGCAGGCCGTCGTGATGGCCGTCGTGATGCTCACACTGCACTGCCCGCAGGGTCTGGCCGCCAAGCCCCTCACCAACAAGCGGGCGGCCCTGTGGCTGCTCTTCGCCTGGACGCTGTCCCTCACCTGGACCATCTTCCCCTTCTTCGGCTGGAACAGGTAGCGGCCACCAAGAGCCGGAGTACCGCTGAAGTTTTGGATTGGAAAGCGAGGCCGCTGGATGGTGCTGATGGTGTGCCCGTGTGACAGGTACGTCCCCGAGGGCAACATGACGGCCTGCGGGACGGACTACCTGACCAAGGACTGGTTCAGCCGCAGCTACATCCTCGGCTACTCCTACTTCTGCTACTTCCTGCCGCTCAAGGTCATCGTGTACTGCTACTGGTTCATCGTCTCGGTGCGTACTTCCCGGTACTTTCCCCACCCGGTTCCCGCCCGGAAGTGTCTCAGTTTCAATTGTGACTGCCGCTCCGCAGGCCGTGTCCGCGCACGAGAAGAACATGAGGGAGCAGGCGAAGAAGATGAACGTGGCCTCCTTGCGGTCGGCGGAGAACTCGCAGAAGAGCGCCGAGGGCAAGCTGGCTAAGGTAGGCGTCGAGAATGCGAGGCGCGGAGCGCAGCCCGGGTGGCCGCTACAGTGTACCTCTTGCAGATCGCCCTCATGACCATCTCGCTGTGGTTCATGGCGTGGACGCCGTACCTGATCGTCAACTACATCGGCATCTTCGACGGCCACTCCGTCATCACGCCGCTCAACTCCATCTGGGCGTCGCTGTTCGCCAAGGCCAACTCGTGCTACAACCCCATCGTGTACGGCATCAGGTGGGTCTCGGCGTCGGCGCGGAGCAGCGCGGTGCGGCCCGCGGACTCCTATGTCTCACCCCCTTTTTTCTCATCGCAGCCACCCGAAGTACCGCGTGGCGCTGTACAAGAAGTTCCCCTGCTTGGCGTGCTCCGCGGACCCAGAGCCCTCTGGCGGCGGCGGAGGCGGCGGCGACACGGGGTCTGTGGCCTCGGGGGTCACCGCCGTCAGCAGCGAGGACCACTGAGCTGGTGCTGCATTATGAACACGGTTCCGGCTCAAGGCAGAGGCTGCCGCAGTCGACTTGATGAGTGGGAGAATTATTTAAGCCCAATCACTGTGTAACTCATACGCCTTATAATTTATGACCACCCTTCAGGTTTCTCTTTTGTTTCTTTAATGTTATCATCGGTAGTTGATCAGACTTTTCTTCTTGCCTGTCACTGTAAAGTTTTTAGTTAAACTGTTTTTTTTTTCATTATTTATTTCTTATTCCCCTTTCAAAAATAAATTAGGTTTTGGGGTACATTTTGGAAGGATATGGTCCCGAACATCAAACTCTTCAGTTTTCTGAATGTCACTTTATCCACAGAATAGTAAGTTCCTTTCCAAGCCCTTGCAGACAGGGGTTTTGACGGTGCTTTACCTTTTAATTGAGTAAACTTAGAACGTACAGCTTTCTAGCTCCAGTGGAAGGCCTTACAACGGGTACGCTACGACACGGACTTCGAGACGGACTACGGAACAAATTAAATCTCTAAGTACTGCTTCGATTCCCACGTCCCATGCCGAGTAGGAACTAACACAAGCAGAGGGCATGTTCGAGAATGATCAATAAACAGACTAACAGTTGCTATTCGACTCCCTGCGCTTCACTCGGATCCCTACCACATTTTTGTTAACTCAGTTTGAGTGAGATTTTTTACTTGCCAGGTACATTTTGTATTTAAAAAAATCTTCCAGAAGAATTCAACCAACATGTAGCGGCTTTGTTTAGGTCCTTTTGAAAAAAAATAAATGGAGCATACATTCGCAAAGCGAGCAAATGGGTCATTACTGAAAACGACTACCCTGCTATTTTCTCTCTTACGCACACACTAACACACACGAAGCGTGAGTCAAATAAATTTGGATTGGAACATTTTGCCGGGAGTCCATTTATTTGAACCTGCGTCCCCCACCCGGTCGTTCGCCCCACCCGGCATGCTGAGTTCCGAACAGCCGAACGGCCACTCTCGTGGGTGCGAGAGGGACAGCACGTTGAATCGGAATCGCTCGGCAGTCGCCCCGCCCCGCCCCGCCCCGCCCGCCCCGCCCAACAGTGCCGAGGCAGTCCGTGCACTCCGTGCACTTCGTGACTTGGATGTCGTGCCGATTAATCCCCGGCGTGTTTATATAAGGAGCCCGCCCGGGCCCACACGCAGTACCCCAGTGATGCCGCCACCGGGCAAACCGGGCGCCAGCAGACAAGAGTGAGCACCAAAGTTCTCGGTTTTTGTTGCTTTCCGAGCAAAACGCGACAAAACTCTTGTCTTGTTGCAGTGCGGGAAAAGCGTATGACGCTCTTCTACGGCCCCTCGGCCAGCATCTACGAGGGAGCCTTCTCCGGCCGCTTCAACAACCACAGTGTCGTCGACATCGTCCTCGATGATATGCTCTACCTGGTGGACCCGCACTGGTAGGCCAGTCGCTCTGTCTCTCTCGCACCCGCACAGGATGCACCATGAGTGCGACAGAGACAGAGCGACGATCCGTTGGCGCGTTGAGGAGACCGTCCTAGTCGAGCAGGGACTGGACGGATGGCTCTGCGTCTCACAGGTACAGATTCGAGCCGCTGCATCCCGTGCACCTCAAGCTGCTCGCCTTCATGCTGGGCACGCTCGGCATGATGTCCGTGACGGGCAACGGCATGGTCATCTACATCTTTTCCACCACCAAGTCCCTGCGCACGCCCTCCAACCTCCTCGTCGTCAACCTGGCCGTGTCCGACTTCCTCATGATGTTCTGCATGGTGCCGCCCATGGTGTTCAACAGCTACTTCGAGACGTGGGTGCTAGGTGCGTTGGTGGTCGTTTGGCCCGGTTGCAAAAACGGCAGCACAGTTCAGCAATTGTGACGTTTACAACGTTTTGGGTCCACCAGGTCCAGCGTTTTGCGAGGTTTACGGAATGTTCGGGTCCTTGTTCGGCTGCACATCAATATGGACCATGACTATGATATCATTGGACAGGTACAACGTCATAGTGAAGGTGAGGGTACCTTCCCTGTGGTCGCTTTCAGCAGGCTGTAACTACAATTAATGTTTTCGTTGTTTTCCGAAAGGGGTTATCAGCAAAACCGATGACGACGAAAAAAGCCATCCTCTGGATAATCTTCGTCTGGCTGATATCATTAAAGTGGACCGTGTTCCCGGTGTTCGGATGGAGCAGGTGAGTACGAGTAGACACGCTTTGTTTGTCCGAAAAGAAGCGGGAAATTCGAAGCTCATTTTCTTCCCCCGGAAACCCGACAGGTACGTTCCAGAGGGTAGCATGACGACGTGTGGAGGCGACTACCTCAACATCTCGTGGATCAGCCGGAGCTACGTGATTCTGTACGCCGTCATGTGCTACTTCGTGCCGCTGGCCATCATCGTGTTCTCGTATTACTACATCGTCAAGGTACTCTCTCAACGTGACGCGCTCTCGTGTTTTCTGCATTCAAATAGCGTGTGATATCGGGTGTCTCTCTCCTCCCAGGCGGTGGCTGCGCACGAGAAAAACATGCGCGAGCAGGCGAAGAAGATGAACATTGCGTCGCTGCGCTCGCAGGACCAGGCCAGCTCGGAAAACAAACTGGCCATGGTAATTGCAGCAGCGCAAATCACTTGCAGTTGTTCATCTCCTTGTCGTTTGCTTAACGCTGGCTGTTCCCGTAGGTGGCCCTGATGACCATCTCGCTGTGGTTCATGGCGTGGACGCCGTACCTGGTCATCAACTTCGTCGGCGTCTTCGGCTACGGCCAAGAGATCACGCCACTGTCCACGGTGTTCGCCACGCTCTTCGCCAAGGCCAACGCCGTGTACAACCCCATCGTCTACGGAATCAGGTGCGCGACGCTGACGGATTCGCCAAAGTTTTAATGAGAAAGCGGGCAGGCCTTTGTCTTTTCCTTGCTCCCGATGACCCCCTCCCCTCCGCCTCCCCGCCATATAGATTGGGAATTAGTTTCGATGCTGTGCCGCGGAAACGCACTCGCTCTGCGTTTGCCACGGCAAACAAACATGCTGATGGCGTCTTGTTCCGCAGCCACCCCAAGTACCGCGCGGCGCTGGCCAAGAGGTTCCCCAAGTTCTTCAGCCACATGGCGGCCGGGGGCTCCACGGAGACCAGCGAGGTGGAGTCGGTGCAGTCGGTCGTCACCAGCCTGCCAGAGCACCAGGCGTGATGAGGCACCGCGGCGCTCCGGCCTGGACGTCAACTTGGCCGACAAGTTGGTGGCGGAGTTGTTTCCCAGCCACGCGTCGCATGCCTCGCACCTCCAGGGAACTTTCTCTTTTGTTTGGAAACCGGGCTAATCAACGGACGACGATTTCGGACTGCTCAACGGTGTTCCCCCTGTCCCTCGAAAACAAGCTAGCCAGCAGTTGTGAGTGAAAATAAAAATAAAGCTTTCACGTTGATTTTGTTTTTTGTGAGTGTTTCGATGTTTGAACGACACGAGAATACTAGGCCCAAATTCGTCCCGCTTTGTTTTTTACACTTTTTTGTACCTTTGCGCGGCCAGGCGCCGATTTGATAAGCGTGTTATGTTTACGTGTCTGTGCAACCCGGGTGTCGCTCAATGACGGCTGGATACGCTCTTTTTACTTTCGTTTTGTTCCTCCGTCGGTGTATGAAACTGCGCAGGCGGTAGCAATCGCAAGCTGGTGTGATGACGCCCACCCTCCCCTCCCACCCCCGAGAAAAAAGTAAACAATATGCATATCTCTTGAACCGGCGCATATATTTATTCTCCTCCCCACACTCACGCGGCATGCGTGGTACACCGGAAAAGAGAAAGCTACACCGCCATTACCAGCACAGAGGAAACAAAAGAGGTCCAGAGGACACACATACAAGACATTCCAGTTGAAATGACGCTGCACACGGTAAAAACGCGTCCTGGGAAAACTGAAAGGCTCCAAGGGTGGTCGTGGAGGAAAGGGCAAAACTTCCAGGATCGTCCATGGTGCGTGTTTTGAGCCGGCCACCCATTTCCAAAAATAAAAATTAATCGAAAATAAAGAAGAAAAAAGGAAGACCCGTCTCCCACCTCCGTACACAGTATTTTCGATTTTTTTTCAAAGATGCGCGGTACGCGAAGCCCGTGGAACCTCACGTGCAACCCGTTTCCTGGACAGAGGAGGGCCAGTTGGAGTCCAAATAGAGACGCGCCACCCCGCGCGCAGAACCCGAAGAGTGAGGGATCTGCCTGTTTACTGGAGAAAATGGCGACGGGTCGCTCGGACGCTGTTGCCGCCAGGGCAGCACGCAGCTCGGGTCTCGCAGTGACAACTTGCGGATTCTCGCGAGCCGAAGCGAGCTGAAGCGCCTCAACAGGCTGCTGCTTCTTTTGCCTGCAGTCCCGGTGAGCCCTCCCCATCCCCTCGGCGTGGAGATCTTGTCGTCCGGGCCCACGGCGCATGGGGGCGAACGTGGTGTGGACAGGGACTCACGAGACGGAGGTAAGAAGGGAGAAGTTGAACTTGACGACCTCCACCGTGCTGCTCTAATCCATCTCTTCCCCCCCCCCCACACACACACTCTCCCACCATTGACACCCACTACGGGCTCTGTGGACAGTGTCCCGCCTTCAGCCCCCAGCCGACGTAGAGCTGGCCGAAAGTCCTGCGAGACAAAAGGCGGGATTAATAAACATGTCGGGTAAAAAAATCTCTGAAATCCTCGGAGAACTTGTCAGGAGAAACGTATTTCACGAATGTAAACATGGGTAGATCTACTGGGTGTTTCTGGTGCACCTCCCCGGGATCCGGAGAGTGTGCGGCCACTGCGGCACTGCGGAATCGCGCGGCGAGCGGCAACAAGTGTTTCGCAAACAACGCCCATTTCCCGCGCGGGATTGTCCTGCCAGGCCTCGGCCTGCCTCGGCCGAGCCGTGCCGCCGTATTGCCGCACTGCATGCAAATCCTGCGAGGTGCGTTTTCCCTGCCCCAACGGACTCTCCCAGTGCAGTGCAACAAAGCAGTATGCTAACGCGGCAAGCAGGCCACTGGCAGGACGCGGAGGTCGGCGCAGCGCAGTGGGCTAGAACACCGGCACAGGCGGTCGAAACTCTAGACGCGTTTTGAGCTCAAGTCGCTGAATGGGACTCGAACCGAACGTGTGACCCCACCGATGGATTGCTCTCCGAACGGGGAATTCATTGGTGGGGTCACACTCTCGGTTCGAGTCCCATTTAACGACTGGAGCTCAAAACGCGCCTAGAGTTTCGGCCGCCTCCACCGGTCTTCTGGCCCGCTGTGCGCCGCGCGGGTAGGCAGCGCGCGGCCGCGAGGCAGGCGTGCGCGGCGTGCGGCCTACCCTCGACTCCACAGGCGCTTTCGACTGGGCGAGGCGGCGAGGCGGCGTGGCTCGGCCGCAGCGGGGCGTGCCGAGCGAGTCTCTTTGGAGCACTTTAGCAACGCCGAAGTTAAGCAGGCGGCGGTCTTACCTTCACTGGGGGGAGGGAATGTTGAACGTAAAAGCCAAGCCACTACTAAGATATTCTACACGGTAAAAACGGTTCCTGGTTTTCCCAGGAACTTCCTGGATTAATGCATATGTTCTGCCATGGGCTTTGGGAAAACCAGGTACCGTTGGTTACACGTGTACTTATTTAGCAAAATTTTTCCACCCGTCTCTTTTAGACTCAAGTTATTTTTTAATATTTTCCGAATGTGGGGGTATGGCAACGCGCGTCCGACTGGGAGGGAGTGGGAGCTAAAACCACCAACGCACTTTTAGAATGCAATTATTTTTTAATTATTTTTCCAATGTGTGAGCCGCGCGCGCGGGATGAGCTGGCTGAGCTGCCCGGCGATTCAGCCAAGTCGTTTCGTCGCTCTGTCTCTGTCGCACTCTTGGGGCTGTCCGTAAAGGTGCGAGAGAGACAGAGCGACGAACGGCTCGGCTGCGAGGCTGGCTGCCTACCTGCCGCTGCAGTACGCCACGGCGCCGGGCCAGTGGTTGGAGCGCAGCAGCACCGCGGCGGTGTGCCGCAGTCGGGACGAGCACAGCCTCGGCGTCCACGGCGGGCACCGGGCCTGCTGCAGAAGCGCACACTGTTACGTCATTCCGCCGCCTAGCGGCCCGGCGGCCCGGCGACCCGGCCAGTCGGCGTGCCCTGCCTGCGGCGTTGCGAGGACCGGCGCGTCGTGGGACAGCGGGGCCAGCAGGGGCGCGTCCTCGCCGTCCTCGCCGTCGTCACCGTCGTCGCTGCGCTGCTCTGACGGCCGCCGCGCTCCCTCGAGACTGTCCTCCTCGTCCTCCTCCTCTGCTTCGCCCTGCGCGTCCTCTTCTTCTTCCTCCTCTTCCTCCTCCTCCTCCGCCAGTTCGTCGGAGCTCGGCTGGTCCGCGTCCTCCATCTGCCGGAACAGTCGTAGTGCAACTTTGGCAGCGAATGCAGGGGCAGGATCGCAGTAAGCGACGCTAAGTCCAGTTTAAGGACCTGTTGAGGCACGGCCAGGCGGCCGCTGCGCAGCAGGCGCGGAGAGTGGTGCGCCCAGCCGGCCAGGCCGGGGTCCGCCAGCTCGGCCAGGGAGGCGGAGCCCGGGACCCCCCGCCAGTCCGAGTTGAGCACCACGCCGCACTCGTCCTCTGGAAGAAAGTGCGTTATCATTTCATGTTCGGGGCGACGCGACGCGACGCGACGCGGCCTCGTGCTCGGCAGCGAAAATAAAGTGTCGAGTCTTTTACTGCCGCATAAACGGGCAGTAAAGCCATCCCGGGCCGGCAGCACGCTGGCAGCCAGGGACGGTGTGGGAATACGAGTGGAGCGACGCGCGAGGCCGCGACGCCGCGAGTCGCGAAAACCGTCCCAGCAGTTGGATTCGCTTCGCAGCTTCGCACCGGCCAGGTCGAGGCTGACGGCGGGGGACTTGACGTAGGCGCCGAGCGGAGACACGGAGCAGGACGCCGAGATGCGCGCCAGCTGCGCGTGGAGCCGGTGCGCCTCGGTGCCGGGGAAGTCCGCCACCTGCAGGCCGAGCGGGCCGAGCGACCGGTCAGCACCGGGGAGGCGGGCGCGGCACAGTGGGCCAGAAGACCGGTGGAGGCGGCCAATACTCCAGACGCGTTTTGAGCTCCAGAGTCGCTAAATGGGACTCGAACCGAACGTGTGACCCCACCAATGGATTGCTCTCCGAACGAGGAATCCATTGGTGCGGTCACACGCTCGGTTCGAGTCCTATTTAGCGACTCTGGAGCTCAAAACGCGTCCAGAGTTTTGGCCACCTCCACCGGCCTTCCGGCCCACTGTGCGCGGCGCAGTGATAGCTACTGGACCTGCCTGCGCCTCGGGGTCCCCGGAGAAGAGCAGCCCGCGGCCGTCCAGCGCCCTGGCGGCCACGACGTGCCGCGGCCGGATCGGCGGCAGCTCCCACCACGCGCCGCCGTCCGCCACCAGGTACACCTGCAGCCCGCGCAGTAAATTCATTCATTAATGAAGCAAAGCGAATAAAACGGGATCGCTCCCCGGGGAGACCGCTGCGGCGTAGAAGCGCAGCGGCGCAGCCCGCCCACGCTGAGGCACACACGCGCCCTGCTTCCGGAGAGTTTTGTCGCTCCGTCTCTGTCGCACTCGAGGGGCGCTCCGTAGGGGTGCGAGAGAGACGTGCGGAAACGACTCCTCGCCATCGGTCGGCAGAAGCAGGGCGTGCTGTTTGCGCGGGGGCGGTAGGGAAGGGGGGGGGGGCTGCGTCGATGGAAGCAGCGGGAGACAAACAGCCCCCCGGCGGATCTGAATCCCGGCGATCTGTCCCGGTCGGCCTGGAGGCCTGGAGGGCTGCCGGGCCTCGGCGGCCTCGGCCCAGCCGCCTGGCCGGTCGGCCGGTCGTTAGCAACGCGCTCATCGCGCGCGGCCCGCCACGATTAGTCTCCGTCATCGTCGTCCTGGACGGAAAAACTAAGCGCACCTTGCGGTTCAGCGGGTCCTCCAGCTCGGCCTGCTCGGCGGGGCCGCGGATGTCCACGCGCCGGTCCAGCTCGTCGTCCGTCAGCTCGGCCTCGGCCAGCACGTAGTCCCGCCGCCGGGCCAGCACCTTGCCCCAGAACCTGTGCAAGAGGACCAAGCCGTCACACAGTGGGCCAGAGGACCGGTGGAGCGGCCGAAACTCTAGACGCGTTTTGAGCTCCAGAGTCGCTGGCCCACTGTGCGTCAGCAGCCCGTCGTCGACGTGTCTCTCCGGTCCGCCGGGACTGCCACTGCCGTGGGTCACTTCTTGGCCACCTTCGCCTGCTTCGAGTCACGTCGCTCCCATCTCCTTAATGAGGCCGCCGCCGAGCTCCGCGCCGCCGCCAAGTTGCCTGTATCCCGAACTTGGGATTGTGTCTTTTCACAATTAAACGACCCCGGAAACGGAACGATGGAACGCAGCGTGGGGGCGGGACGGGGGTCGTCTGCTGCAGGTTCCGCTCTCGATACGGCCAGAGGCGCTTCTCGGAAGCTGAGACTTTTAATTGGCAGAAGGCACACGTGCCGAGCAGAAATACTAGAAGAAATACTCGGCACTCGCGACCGCCACCCTCACGGCCAGAGGCGGAAACCGCCGAGTCAGTACTGCAGTGTGGCGTGGCTCGGTCCACACGACTGTCCGAGAGGGGCTGCTGTGGCACAGAGACACGCCACCCCTGATAAGTCCGAACAAGAACGCCTGCGGCTGGGAGGCCGGGCTGGGCCCCAGTGGGTGGGGCGGCCTACAGTGGCGACTACTAGCGACCCCCTCGAATTCCACACACACTGTCCATTCCCAACCAGACGTGCCTGACAATAGGGTGGTTGTCCTAAAACCCTTGTGAAGGGTAGTGCCCCTGCCCCTCCCGCAGGGTATCATCGCCTACCCTCGAAGAATGTCCACAAACGAAGGGACGCGTCCCCACACCGCAGGGCTGGCGCTACGCTGGCGGGGCGAAGGGCGAACGCACGCCCTCCAAGTTGAGAGCAGTACGTAGCTGGCGTAGCTGCCGAGGCACACCTGTGTACCCACCTTCAGGCCGGGACACTCTGTCCTTGTCCGTGCTGCACAGCGATTCCGTTCCGTCCCTCCGCCGTCTCTCTCGCACCCACACGTCACGCGGGGCGCGCCCCGTGAGTGCGAGAGAGACAGAGCGACGCAAGCTTTGTTTGGAATCAGCCTGAGGGTCGGGCGGAGGCGAGCAACAAACATTCCCGAATAAACTCACGAGAATAACTTTGGCGCTCTGGAGGCGACGCGCGACGCGTCGGCGAGCAGAACGACGACTAATTCAAGGTAAAGGGCCCCCTAATTCAAGGTGGCTGACGGCGCGCGGAGAAAGTTCCACATTTGCAGAATAAAAGAAAAATGAATGAACCTGATGCGTGTGAGGGCTCTGTTGCTGGCCAGGTCCTTGATGGCCAGGGCCACGGCGAAGGCCTCGTCCTGGGGCACGGCGACGCCGCACCGCGCCGTCACCTGCAGCACGTCCAGGATGTCGCCGCCGTCGCCGCACGCGTCCTCCTCCGACATGTCCAGCGAGCGCACACCTTCGTCATTATGCTGGTCACAAAACCCATAAAACCTTTTTTTTATTTTTTTTTTATTTCTCTAAGAAAAAAGTACTTTATTAGTTTGGTGCAAACCTTCAGCGACTGGCACACTTTCAGAGCGAAATGAAAGGTGTCGCTGTTGGCATTGTTCGCTGAGCGGGTCCTGGCGTTGGAGCAGAAGTGGCGTCTCTCCTGCAGCATCCGACTGGTCTCCTCGAAGGCGATCATCGCGCTGCTGGCCCTGTTGGCCAGCGCGAAGTGCACCACCTCGAACAGGTGGTCGTACCTGCCGGGGAGAGAATAGGCCTCATTTACAGTCGAGACTCATTAACCAAAACAATAAACGAGAGATGAGCAATCCAAAAAAAAAATTGAGGTGTCTTCCCTAGCAAAGGGTCTTTCGTTTTTGTTTGTTTGTGTTTTGTTTATGGGGCCAGACTTTTACCCGAAAACTTGATCCGGTTTGAGAAAGAACACAAACATGAGTCAATCGTGGTGGCTGGCGGCCGTTTATACCCCGCGCTTTCACAGCGCAGATACTCCGCGCACTGGCTTCTTCCCTGCTCGTCCTAGCCTCGTCTATACTCCGCGCGGTCCAGCCCGGCCTGGCCCGGCTGCGTTGCCAAGGAAATCGACGTCATACGTTGGCCCAACGCGGTGTAATATTTGCACCAATTTAAAGTTTGCCTTTGTGGGAATAACCAAAACCACAAACAACCCTGTTCAACCGCTTCCACTTACAGACTGGTTCCAGAGGACAGGCAAGGCTCCTTCAGGAACGACATTTCTTCATTGATCTCTGCTTCCATCGCTGTTTGATTTGACTCTTCAGGTCGGGCGGGTTCTGACTGTTCAGAACGAAGCCTCGATTTCGAAACGCCATTCATCGCTAAACGCAACTAAAGCGAGAAACTTCGTCACTGCCCGCTAGAAATGTTGTTACATCTGGTAACATTGGAGTTCATTACGTTTTTCTTTAAAAACAAAAAGTGTAAATTTAACCCAGCGTTTTAAAGAAAAAGCGATTGCAACGGATAACTAAAATACACTTTGCGCCGTTTAAATTGAGGGAGCGGCTCTGCTCCTTGAATAGTGGGCGGTACTCCCGCCGCGCGGCGGCAAGCGACCGCGACGCGACTAGTGGCGCCATCTCCCGGCAAGCCACGGAACCTGTTGCTCATCTGTTTCTACCGTCATAAACGTTATTTGCACCCGCTGCTTACCGTTCAAGCTTGAGCTGCACCTGCAGCATTTTGCTTGAATTTGCTGGGATGATTTACGACTTGACATCGTCCAACCTACAAGCAATCCCTACGTTCCTAAGTCACTAGACGATTTAGAAACACATTGTTAATCGCAGCGTGCTTAAAATCAGCACTACTCGCCTTTGAAAACTGCAAGAGACGCTTTCAGAAATAACCGAGCCTGCGTACCCATAACCTGCGGAAGACCTGGAGTGACATTGATTGAACATGGCGGGTGAGTCAAGCCTTGGAGACAGTGTTGGCATAAATTCAATTGATGTTTTCTATTTAATCTAATTATATTTATTCCGGCCTAACCTATCAACATGTAGGGACTAGTGGGTGGCTAAGCTGTTTATTCTTTGTTTCAGCGTTTGATCCCATACTAGCCAGAGGGGTGAAACTGATGCTAAGTAATGAGCCTGATGCTGCAGAGCAGTTGCGTGCCATGCTGGAAGAAGCTCTACGCAACAAATACGGAGCCAACATCAAACTGCCTTCCTTGGTGAGGTTTATATGCTTCATACGTAGTTGTTGCTGTTATAAGATTATTTCTAATGGTTTCATTCATAAGAGCAAGCTGCAGAAAGACTTGGTGGCTGCAAGCTGAAATTAACCATCACTAGCATTCTAAGTTAATTTATCGTTATAAAGTTTTTTTGTGTGTGTATGTTTAATTTAAATTGTCCTTTTCAGTCGGAAGTAGAAGAATCAGCAGAGAGAAAGTTGTATGACTCTGCTAGCTCCTCCAAGGTGCATTCTCCATCACCACTTACTGCTCTATCAGACGAATCTAGTGGTTCTGCCTCAGCCGACATCGATGATAGCTTTTGCATGAATTTTACGGAGTTATCATGTGTTGTGTGTGGGTAGGTCATGCAGAGTTTACTTTTGTCTTTTTATGACTGGTAATGCTATTAGCCACTATTAGTGTGAATTTTTCAGTTACAGTAACCTCATTTCAATATTATGATTATTATTTCAGACAATTTAATGTTGGAGCTCGGAACCAATTGATGGAATGCAACTCGTGCCAGAAGTTATATCATCAAGATTGCCACGTGCCACCAGTGCAGGAACTGGCATCATCTAGCTGGGATTGTGGAGATTGTGCTAAAAAGAAACAAGTATGCTTGTTTTATTGTACGTGGTTTTTTATTTTGTGCTGTCTAAATTTAAAATGAAATTTCTTGTTGCCTTTCTTGCAGCCAAAAGTTAAAACTGAATCACCAGTGTCTGGTGGCAAACCAGTGTCTTTTGCCAGTCTAACTAGTGGTAAGAAAGGTCAACATCATCCACCTCAAAGTTTTAAAGTCACTTTTAGCATATTTTTTTACTTAATAACAAACTTACAAATCAATTTTGTTTTTTCAGGCTCTTCCTCATCCCATAAGAGCTCCTCAAAGTCGAGCTCCAGTTCAAGTTCCAGTTCATCACATAAATCATCATCAAAATCATCTAGTAGTCACAGTCATAGCAGCAGTAACAAACGTCATTCTTCATCATCATCATCATCTCACAAATCCTCGAGCCATCATAAAAGCAGTAGCAGCCGCCATTCAAAATGATATCTGAGTACGCTTATTTTTTCATTTCAATTTTCTTGATAAATAACAACAATCTGTTTGCTTGATCATGACAGTGACACTATTCAATTGTATTGAATACCTTGGTTTTTTAATCAAATTTTTCATCCTACTTTGTCATAATTATATTATCATCTCTGTATTAAATTACTTGACAGGGAGCCCATAGGAAATAAACCATTATTTACAGCGGGCTTCCCTAGTCAATGCTCTCTACTCGGTGTGATATTGTCTTATTGTCTGGCCCCCATCGTCTCCATTTTTATCAGCAGTTTTAGTTACAGGTGTGAGTCAGGAGGGCCAGGTGGACTGCTGTCACGTAAAGTTTATGCAATGCACGTGACTTCATCCTTCAGCCCCAGTTTAAAGCCCAGCAGGTAGGCATAAACATGGGCTTAAAATTTGAAAGAAAATGCATCGCCGCCAGGGGAAAGGCTCTGCTCTGACATGTGCCGGCAATTATTTGTGGCCGGCAGGCCATTCCGCCAAGACACTTGGCCTCGGCTCGCCTGTTACGAAAACGGCCCGGCCAGCGGTGCAGTGCGCTAGAGCTGCTAGAGCTGCCAGCGGTGCTGGTGCAATCGAGCAGGCAGCCTGGCCGAGCCGAGCCAGACCCAAACAAAGAGACTCTTCTACTCGCCAGCTTCGCGCTTCGCGACCGCAAGCTGCGCAGTGGGGCGGGCCGAGGGGGCGGAAAAGGGCCCGGGGGGGGGGGGGGGGGGGGGGGGCAGGAGGAGGGGGCCGTGCACGCGCCGATCTGCCCTCTAGAGCTCTTCTCTAGGAGAGTAGCCGGCCGGCTCCGCTGGCTGCCAGCTCGGCCTGCCCGCCCCTTCGCTCCTCTCCCCCCGCCCCCAGTGGAATCTCACGGCGCGGCCAGGCTGTGTCTCGCTTGCACTCGCGGGGAAGGACAAGGAGCAGCAGGGCCTCTGGCGCGGGGGGAGGGAGGGGGGACCGCGGCGTGACGTAGTTGCGCTCGGGACCCGCGGCCAGAACACCTCCCCGCGCGCAGCACGCCGCGGCCGTGCGGCCGACGCACGCGGATGTAGGAGGCGCTGCCTGCCAGGCTGCCAGCTCGGTCGGGCCGCTCTCGCGTGCCTGTGTGTCATTGTCGCTAATATCGACTGGGGCCTAATGACACGCACGTCCGGACGGACGGCCATCGTCATCAACACTGTACATGAGGGAGTGGGCCGCCGAGCCGCGCGGCGCCGCGGCGTCCGGACTAAAGAGTCGTTTGGTCGCCCCGTCCCTGTCGCACTCAAGCGTCGTCCCGGAGTCCCGGGGACGGCATTGGGACGCGGGTCTAGGACGCTGCCGGGCCGGCAGCGCTAGGCAGCGCCGGTTCGCCAGCCATTTCTTTGTTTGAGTGGACGTCGCGACGCTACGCGACGCCAGCGACTCCGGGGGTGGCGGCAAGGCGGCGGCAAGGCGGCGGGGAGGGGCCCGGCCGGTTCGCGCGCTACAGCTACAATGGCATGGAGGACCCAGCCTAGCGCAGCCTAGCTCGAAACAGGTTACATAAGGACCAAAGTACCGTTCGGTTGTTTACAACGGAATTCATGAGCCCTGACCAGCCGGTTTATTGCTATCTTCACACCCAGCGAGAGTTTGTTTTGGCTGGTTGCAGGGTTTGTGCAGCTGCATGCCGGAAGTCTCTGCCCAAACTCCAAAATCTCTTCGGATTCCCTAGCAAGGGCCTTGGCGCTCTGCGAGGAGGTCGCATTTCCATCTCGACGTGGCTTGACCGATGAGCAACACGGCGGACAAAAGATTGCTGTCAGCATCCTTTGTTTGAAAAGCGAGGCTCGCGGCGTAGCGCAGCGCGTCGCCGACGAGGAATCTGCTAACAAAGGACGTGGTTCCCGCGGCGCGGTACGCGGGGCGCTTCGGTCGGTAGGGACATTTAACTTCGGGCCGCGCTCGGGCCGCTCGGGTCCCCTGTTTATGTTGCTTCGTGCCCCCACTCCCGGCACCCCGTTCTGCGCACTCCACCTCCCTCCCTGCCGCCGCCAACCAATGGCGCGAATGTAGGTCAGGCCTCGTTTCTCGCAGCCAATGGCGGCGCCGCTAGCCGGTCACGTGGGTTTTGTTGTCATCCGTCAGCTGTTGAGGTTTCGACCGGCCGGCGAGCCGAGCAGCGGAGGCCGCTAGCGCGCTGGCGTCCGGATCTTCGGTGCCATTCAAAGCGAAGCAGCTGATGTGAGCGCAGCCCGTGCCTCCGTGCCCGTACCGCCCGTACTCCCGAACCGCAGCTAGCGCAGTCGAGTCGCGTCGCCGTCGAGCAAGTTCCTGGTCGAGTCTTTAGCTAGGCGCAAGGTGTCCTGTGAGCCAGTCTGGCAGAGTGTCGTTCCCCGTGGATTACCTACGATCTCTCTGCAGCCTGCCGCGGGCCCTTGCAACAGCAGTGGTCGGAGCGACTATGAGTTCGCTGTGTGGTGGTGTTAGTGAGTGCGCGGTCGTGTGTCTGTGCGTCCCGATGCGCGATACCCTGTTTCCTCGCCCCTGGTGCTACATTGACGATGTGGTGCTGTAGTGCGTGTTGAAGTGACTGTCATCTGGCATCCTCGAGGGTGTCAAGTTTTTCCAGTGTGGAACCCGCCGTGCTTTGAATCGTGAAAGTGTCGGTCCGCCGGGATCTCGGTGCTTCCGCGATAGGCCGGCGCGCCCTGCTGTTCAAGCAACCCGCCGCGGTGGTGGTGCGGCCGGGAGTGATCGTCGGCCCCGGAGGAGGTCGCGTTATCGCCCTCGGCGGCGTCAGCGGCGTCAGCGCCACCGGCGTCGTCGGCCCACTGCCACGCCGCGTGTACCGGCGCCAGTGGAAGCCGTACCAGCGCAACCCGACCACCATGTCGACGGGCAAGAGGTTGGCCAAGCGCTCCATCATCGGCACGCGCGTGTGCGCGCCGGGTGACGACGGCAAGTACTACGCCGGCGTCATCCACGCCGTCAAGACCCCCGCGGCCGTGCTGCCGGGCGGCGACGGCGGCGGCCAGAGCGACGAGACGCGCTACTCGGTGCGCTTCGACACGGCCACCGCCTCCAAGCAGCAGCGGCTCACGTTCCGACGCGAGTTCCGCGAGTCGGAGCTCATCGGCCCCGGCTTCCGCAGCGTGACCGGGTGCCACCTGCAGCCCGAGCAGCGCGCCTACCTCACCTTCAACGGCAGGGAGGTGGCCGGCGAGGTGCGCTCGCACGACACCCTCCGCGACGAGGTGGTGGTCACCATCTGGCCCCCGGGCCACGAGGTGAGTTACATACCCTGCATGTCTAGCGCCTAAGCGCCGGTCGGTCACTGCGCCCGGCCCCGCGCCCGGCTGCCCGGCGTTGGCATTGCAAATGGGAAAAAGCAGCCTATTCAAATGGCGCCCGATTATTCGTCCCTACCGGAAGCAAATGCACGCTCGGGTGCCTGCAGTGTAGCAGTCTAGCAGCGCGGTAGCGGTACGGAGCACCGCGGAGCACACACACACTCGGCGCACTTGGGATGACATGGTGACCCTGCTGCGTGACGTCACCGAATGGCCCATAAAGGAAGGAAGCAGCCAACAGCGCCACGCCCCGGACCAACCATTCGTCAGCCGCAGCGGTGCATGGCGCCGGCCGCCCTGGCCGCCCTGGCCTCCCCGCCCTGGCCGAGCAGGGCCTGATAAGCACCCTCACGCCTTGGGACGTCGCCGCCTTGGAGACCCCTATCTCCGCTTCCGATCTATCGACACGCCGAGATTGCCCCGGTACAGGCCGAGGAGGGCGCTGAGCGCGCCGAGGCGCCAAAAGCTGCCCGGTTATGCAAGGCGATGCAAGGCGACGCGCCGCGGCTCCGCGACCTAGATTTGGCCACCCACATCTGGAAGTAGGTCAAGCGGGGCTAGGCGGCTAGGCGCACCTCTCGGTCCAGTCGAGGCTTTTTGTGACGCCCAGGCCGCGGCGGCGCTGGGGCGCGCTGGGCCCCGCTGGGGTCGGTGGGATTGATCCGGCCGGGGGCGCGGAGGCCTTCAGCAGCGCCCTGGCGGCCCTGGGGGGGAGGGGGGGGGGGAAGGGCAGCGCGCAAACCAGCGGAACGAGCCGGAAACGGCCCGCACCCCGCCGCGTTCGCCCAGCACCACTTCCGCGCGACAACAAGTACCCCCTTTCGGCGGCCAATACACTTAGCGGCGTGGTGGTGCCGCGTCGGCGTCCTCCTGGGGGCATTTCTCGCTCAGGGAGACCCGCCCCCAGCATGCAGCCAGGCATGCCGGGCCACGCAAGGAAGGATACACCGGGGCCGTCGTCGCTTTGTCTCCCTCAGTCACGGGGCATTCCCTATAGGTACGAGAGAGACAGCGACGAAGATTGCGCGCACAGAAGCCGCACAGCATTCCGTTGTGAGACACGGAAATTCACGGAACGACGGTTGTGTACACGAGAAAGAAAACTCGGGTGTGTCACTTTCCACCCGGTTTCCCCTGGAGTTTTCTGACGGTGGCCGCATAATGATGGCCACTTTACGAGCGAGTCCTGGAAACGTTTTCCTCCAGAGAGCCTGACTTGGGCTGCCTTCCACTGCCGGCGGCAAGCTCGTTAATTTGCCGCAGGAAGCTGTTTTGACCCGCTTTCCGTGGAAAGAAGGGAACCTCCAAGGGAACCTCGAAGGGAACGAACGAGTCGAAGAAAAGTTTGCCGTGGCGACGCTGCGGCGCTGCCGCGCTGCTGGTGGCGCCACTGCGATGGCACCCAAATGGGACCAGCAGTCGGAATCCACCCATTTATCACAATCCTGGATTAGCCTACCGCCAGGCCAGTACGCCCCCCCCCCCTCTCTCTCTCTCTCTCTCTCTCTCTCTCTCTCTCTCTCTCTCTCTCTCTCTCTCGCACTTGTGCGGAGCCCCGTTCGGGTACCGGAGCGACGGGAATCCACCGGCAGGTGCGCCCAGGTGGGCACGGACAGCTTCACGCCCTTGAACCAATTGGGTGCAAAGGGTAGGTGTGGCTGGCGCGCTGCCTCTCTCTGTCTCTCGCTCGCTCTCCCCGCTCTCCTTCTATTCTGGGCCTGGCGGCCTGGCGGCCTGGCGGGGCCGGGTGGGGCGCCCCCTGCACCGTCGCCCACACGACGCCGACGTCACAAGCCGGCCGGCCTGCTGCTAGAGCTAGGCCCGCGCTCCGCGCTGCCGCGCTGTCGACTGTAAAAATATTCGTGTCAAGCAATGGAGCACTGTCAGACGAGAATAGCGGCTGCGAAGCCAAGGCGACGACGCGGCGCCAAGGGTGCGCGCTGAGCTGCCGCACTGCTGTCGCCAAGGGGCGAGTGGCGAGTGCAGTCTAATGACACGGTCTCCAAGGTGACCAGCACGCTGCGCGACGCTGCGTGCACGCCGAGTGAAAGGGAGCGGGGCGTGCAGGGCCCCGCCGTGCCCCGCCGCCCCGGCAGGGCTGGCAGGCCGGCCGGCGGGGGCGGGGGACAGGCAGGCAGGCCGGCGGAGCGCGGCCGAATCGAACACGTATTTATAGACAGCCCCTCCCGCGGCGCCCCGCTGGTGCCCGCTGGCCAAAGGGCTCCTGGTCGCGGCTCGGCGTCGCGGCTTCGCGCTCCGCGGCCCTAGATGGACGGGCAGGTGGCGGTGGCGCCGCCCGGCGCCGCCCAGCGCCCCGAGGCGCCCGTTTTATTTTCCTTCCCCCACGCCGGCCCTCTCTGTTGCACTTACGCACTCCGTCGGGGTGCAAGAGAGACGGGCCGAGAAAACGCCAGCGAACGCTCTTGACAGGTGTCTTCGGAAAGTGTAGCCCGGACTCGTGACGCGCCTGGCGGGCTAGCGCACTGCTGGCGCACTGCTAGCGCGGGCTAGGCTTTTGCGTGCAGACGGTAACAGACAGGCCGGCGCCTGATCGGCCAGGGGGCGTCCCCGCGGACTCACCGCCCCCACTCCACTTGGCGGCCCGGCGCGGCGCGGCACGGCGGCGCGGTAGCGCAGCGCTAGCTCTAGCGTGCACACTGTACTGGCAAGGACTCTGCCGACGGTGGGTGCCGGCGGCGAGGTGGCTATGGCCCGGCTTATCGTAGGCCTCGCGGATCGAACCGTCCCGGCGCGCCCCGGCGTGTGTGTGTGCGTGCGGGGGATCAGGCCGGCGGTCGGAAACACACAACCACCCCGGCCGGCTTGAGCAAGTTGGCGTGCCGCGCTGCCGCGCTCATTTCGACAAACACATGCTCGCCGGTGGTGTCCGTCCGGCCGAGATTCCCACATCGATCCAGGGCCGAGGAATAGACTCGGTGGACTCGGCCTTGCAGGACGGCGTGAGCGAGAAGCGAGAACCCCCAGGTGTGGCTGGCCAGCCCGGCGAGTGGGAATCAGCAGTGCAGGCGCAGCCAAGGCACAGCCACGCCCCGGGACCGGCCGGCTCGGCTCGCTGATATTCACCTTGAGACCCCTCACCACGGACCCAACCCCGCCCGCCTATTGCGCTAGCAAGCGGCCGCACCGCGCCAGGCGGAGCGCGGCAGCGCGGCTAGACGAGGAAGGACCGACGGCAAGGCACACTCGGCTGTCGCTCCTAGACAACGGCCGTGACGAGGCATGAGATAAATGAATAAGGCCCGGCCGTGCAGAGGCACGCCGCCGAATCATTTTCGTCAAAAAATAATAAAGCAAGTGATGTGTTATAAAAGCGTTCCGCGTGGCTGTCACGGAGCATCATCTAGACGCGGATGCTACGCGGCCGGCCGGACCTTGCAGCAGCGTGACGTGACATCGGCGGGGCGAGGCCGACGCCGTGGTCCTGGCCGACGACGACGCCGCGGCGCTGTCCGGAAGCAGTTCCTGGTTCCGCCCCCCGGAAAATGAGGCGGGCGGTCGCGTGCGCAGCGCCGCGCGTGCCCTCCGCCGTCACGTAGAGCAGCGCCATCAAGCCCGACTTGGTGTTCAGTTCGGCTTTTGGCTCCTTTCCGACGGCGGGCTCGCCTCGTCCCACTGCAGCGCCATGGCAGCGCCGCTAGTACACTGCGGCGGGGAAAAGTGGCGGTGCCCGATCACGTCACCGCCTTCCATGAACTGCAGTTTCCCTAATTGCCCGGCTGTTAATTGGGCGGCCGTCTAACAGCCCGCGGTGCTGGATGGCGTGGATGGCACGCCGAACTCGACTCGACTGCAGCGGAGATTTCGCCGGCCGGTCGGCGCGCTGCGCGCTGCGCCACGTGCCGGCCGTTGCGTCACCGTCACGCCGCCGGAGATAGCTCGGCGTTGCACGCGCGGGCGGCGCGGCGCGGCGCGACGGGGCGGGGAAGCCGGCCTTGGACTGTACTGTACTGCAGGACCACTTTGCCATTCCGCCGGCCGAACCGAAATGACGCCCCACCAGGCAACGCCATTGCATCGGCCGGCTGGCTTGCCGGCTGGCGTGACGGCGTGACACAGCAAGCAGACCGCGGCCCGCCGCCCTCCCAAGCCAAGCAAGTGTCGGACAAAGGTAGAGCGCCGTTCCAGCGAGTGTGTGAGTCTGTGTGTGTGTGTGTGCGGCATCCGTCTTATTGCGAGAACCGTCTGTCAGCCGGCTGCCGGCGTTCACGTTCACGCGCCGCGCGACGCCGCGCGCTCTGCCAGGGCCATCCGCGACGCCGCCGCCGTCGACGCACAGCTGGCGGGTTGTGCCGGCCGGCGGCCGGGCCGGGCCTGGCCGGGCCCACACAGTGTGGTGCCACACACGCCGGCACACCGCACGCCGTCGCATTCTTGCCTTTTCCTTGGCGGTCTAGCGTTACGTCACGCCGTGCCGTGCCGTGCCGTGCCGTGGCGGTGACGAAACGGGGCGGCGCGGCGAGCACGTCATGACGCCCCGCCCGGAGAAGCCCTTCGCCGCTGTTATTGAAACTGACTCAATTATAGGCTTCCCGCTTGTCCTTTCGGCCGATACTGGAACTAGATTAGACCTGGCCCCGCCGCTCCGGGTGTGGAGCAGGGCGGGGAGGCCTGCTGGAGGCGGGCCCCGCTTCGCTTTCGCCCGTGCGCCCACCGGCCAGTGATCGAGCGCGCTGTTTTTCGGCGCGACCGCAGCCTGCGTAGTGCAACACAGTACTAGATCTCTCCGTCTGTCTGTCTGTCCGTCCGTCTAGCGTCGAATGGGCTGGGGCGTTGGGCCAAACCGGCCGGCGGTGCCGTTGCGTCGAAAGCTGCTGGTGTTGCTGGTCTGTGGAGTCCTTCCCCGCGCGCCCCGCCCCACCCCGCCGCACCCGTAATGCAGACGGGATCGCGGTTCTAGGCGAGGGGGGCGGGGCGCG